CCAGAACCTAAAATATTATCCTAATTATTTGGATGAATGGCGCTCACAACCACATTGTGGAATCACGTTCCAGCAATGGTATTTCTATCTTTGAAGATATAATATTTTTTAATTGATTAAGCCCTCCCTTATAAAATGACCTACTATTGAAAATTTGCTTAGTTCAGCAGGTACGTATGTACGTCTATAATTTGTTATTCAGTTCGATATTATTTCATTCATATTTGTTTTGTTAAATTGAAATATGTACAAATAAATCTTCTAAATTACCTACATATTATTTACTGAAATAACGCACACTTTAAAAATACACAATTCAATATAGGTAATAATACACACAAACTAAGTAAAAACTATCTACAAATCTAATAGAAAAATAAACTCCACTCTGTATCTTATTGTTCCAATTTAGTCGCCAATGTCCAGTGAGCCGTACGTGACTCTGTAGGTGTTTAAGTTACAATCCGTCGCATCCGAGTCCATTTGGTCCGGCTGCCTAAGTAAAACTAATGCACCATTTCTGTCACGCATATTAGTCTTTACGGTACGTACGTGTCGAACAACTAACAATGTTGTGTACAACACTAAACAAACATTCTTATTTTGTGGAAAATTCCCAGACAGCTTTGGGGTCACCCATAAATTACATCACACGTTGAAGAGTGGAAGAGGATCGATAAAATGTGACATTAGTAATAATAACACCTGATAATTCAAACAGCAACATCTACATAGTTGTATGGGTAGACAAGTCATAGAATAGGTTCATACAAAATGTACATAAAAAGCACCCAGATATAAAATGTTTCTTGTTACTAAGTATTCATATCAGTCGTCTAGTACCCTATAATACTAGCTTTGCTTAACTTAGCACTAAATGGCGCTGTGTGAATTGTCCTGGAGTAGTATTATTACTATACTTACCCGTAAATTAATTTTTGAAAAGGGGTTTAATCAACCTAAGTTGCTTAATGTCGATAATGCCCACGTGACTCCATCGGTATTTCAGGCGTCTATAGGCTACGGTAACCGTTTACCATCCGATGGGCAGTTTGCCACCATCATAGTGTAAAAAAAATTACAAGATTAATTTACTGTAATCATTTCTATTTTTCAACATTTGTTAGTCATAATTAAACAAATTAATCTTTGCTCATAATTTTATTGGAGTATAAAATATCATTCTTTTACATTAAGTCATTTTAAAAATAATTAGCAAGGAGATTTATATTATCCTCAATAAATGTACGGTATATCAAACAACAGTTAAAACCTGTTAGAAAACTTATACTACATCAAACAATAGTCCTGTTATCAATAGCGATAAGATTTAACTGAAATTGTTTTTCTTCTGGCTGTTATTTCTTTATTAAATATGTAACTTATTATTACTAATTATAGACCAATGTAGAGTAAGTAATATAAAATCAAACCTATTTTTTTTATATTTTTGCACAACGAAAACGGCCCAGAAAATATATATTTGTTATAAAATTTGATAACTCCGTACGGCATTCTATTATTAATGTATATATATTATAATATATATATATTAATGTATATATATGTATATATATATATATATATGCATGTCAACAAATATATATTTAATGAACGTCTAATAAATAAAGAAAACAGCAAAATTTTTAATGTAGTATGTTCATATAGCGTACATCGACTGGGCCCAGGACTCATACATACCTGAACCATCTCCTTCTCTACATTACTCTATAGTGATACATAATATACAGCTCTGCAATAATTTCTTTAATTCATGTTTATATAACCTACGCATGAACACTGTTCTAATACATTTTCCAAAAGCAAAACATAATTATATCCTTAAAATGCTCAAGTAATCCTAAGCTAATATATTTTAGCACATAATCTTATCAGGAAAACATTTCATATCAAAATATAAAAAGCAACAGCACTAAATTTAATAAGGCAGTGACTCAAAGTTACAATAATTATAATAATACAGTAAACCATAAAATTACATATAACAATAACAAGCGTCCAAAATTATGATATATTATGCTTCGTAACAATCAGGCACGTAAAGCGTTCATGCGAAAAACGTGTTAAGTGATGTATAAATGCCTACTTTATTGACAATTCTCGATTTCTCGTGAGATTCTGTGGATTTTATTATATCGCAAATATATAGACGAATAAATAATATTGATTTATGAATCCTCCTACCAAAGTTTCTCATGTATATATTAATCAGTTGAATAAAGTTTAGCCCTTTATATAATGAAATATCAAATACAGTTAGTTCAACATAATAAAGCTATCGACTTTGTGCTATTATTAATTGAATGCTAATTTTATCTTCAAATGATTTTAGTATTAATTATAAATTAAGATTTTCGAAATAAATTTTAAGGGCCTATTTAATTAAATAGTCTGGCAACATTTAAATAGTAACTATTATAATATAATTAGTGGAACCATTGAGTATTTCTTAATCACTAAATCGTTAATACGCTTCTAAATAATACTTTTACATCTATCTTACATTAACACTTATATTGTCAGCCATTATTCTCCTGCTGCATATCTCACGACCCAAGTGTATGCTTTCAAACTCATATTTCCCGCACCTTTTAATACTACAAGCATTTAATAACAGGGTTGCCACTTTAGATAATTTAAAAACCACAACTTTTTGAACATATGTAAAATAAACAACTGCATTTCTTCAAAATTTAACATTGTATAATAGAAAAGGGATATTTTCTATTTAATATATTTAATACATGAATAAATGCAAATATTACGAGTTGTGTAGCACTCTATAAAATTCAAAAGAGGCAACCCAAATGAAAAACGGTACAACGATAACGTAGTATAAATTTAAATGCGCTATACTATAATCCAATACTAAATTCATCTCACAGCTCCCGTTAAGGCTAGTTGCTAATTGGCCTATATTTGAACACATCGCTTTTACAGTCAACTTTAATATAGCCTTGGATATTATTACTAATACAAACATATTTTTGTTTACTTGTAAATAGAACATTTAAATATAAATATAGAATAAAGCATGTAATAAGTAAATAAAGCCGAATAAGTGGGGACAAATTGCCGTATCACGATATCACCACAATTAGTCGGATACTAAACCGTTGGAGATCTAAAATGTATAGCTGTGATATTAAAAGATAGGTGGTAATAACATCTAATCTATCAACTCCAATGGTCGAAGCGACATAAAAGCCACAAAATAATACTGGTAAAAATTGATCAATCATGTGTTTTGTTCCTCAATTTTGTATTCAAGGAATTTAAATAAATAATAGCATATAAAATAAATAATAAACTGCTATATACATATCACGCATCTCTATCTAGTTGCAACCTAAGCACGACTTGTACTGTGTACAGAATACTGTACAAGTATAAGTAAAGGTGATATTAAAGCTGACTGTACATTATTAGGACACAATGAATAATTCTAACATTTGACAACGTCTTATGAGTTAACAGGCACATACTTGTTTTGTCCAAGACGACAGGATAGAAGGAGAGAGAATAGTGCCAAATTGAATTTTAATATCTGAGATCCAAATACTGATTTCACTTAGCCAGAAAATTAAGAAATTAGATTTAGAGATTATAAATTAGTTATATTCAGTTTGAAGGGAAACATTTTAATATCTTACATTTATAAATATGTAACATTTTCTTATAGTAATTTGGTGAATATTTAAACTGCTGGGCGCTATGACTTAAAAGTTTCGAGCGCCTAAAAAAAGAATGTTAAGAGGCCCTTATTATTAAAAATTGAGATCTGCTGTATACACTAATTAGGAGATCCCAACACCCGATTAACATCCCACTGTAAACTGTGTGATTGTTGCGGTCTTCGCCTACTGTTACCGCTTTTTATTAACTGATTAGATTTCAATCTTATCTCATTATCTTCCAATAGTACCCTGCCAGGGAAGGGATATACCGTTGGCATATTCACGTATAATAAATCAACTATTACGTGGTACGAAAATAAATGGTACATAATATTATACCATATATACAAAAACGGAGTCGCTTTCGTACGTCTGTTTACTAGCTGATTACTTCTAAACTACGCAACAGATATTGATAGAATATTTACTTTCATTTAAAGAATTTCTTCCGCAGTTATTTAACTTATGTCACATACACTATACACCGATGCGAAGCCGAGGTGTATAGTGTATGTTACTCCTACCATCCTATAATACTACTTCTACCACTACATTTATCTACATAACAAATGATTACATTATCAGATATCATACAATATACTTTATTACAGAGATTTCATTGTTTGTATAATAACAATTATTTCTTATAACTTTTAATATAATTTTAGTATAACGATTTGATAATTTTTAAACTATGTTACACCTATTAATACAAAACCCAATTATAATACTGATTTTTTTAAGTTTTAGTATTAAACACAACCTTACTATTCTTAGTAATAAGGACCTCTTAAATATCATTTGTAACGTGGCATACTATATGAGAACAATATATAAATTATTCTAGTCCATGGTTAATATGGCTATAATTCCTAATGGTTGTTACACACTTGATATTAAAGTGTTTAGTGCTCAGGAGATACATATATATTACAAACAACGGACACGATTATCAAACATACTAGGTATAGAGCACCATTCATACGCTGATTTTACTTGACTGCCATAAAAGCATGGCAATAGCTATATAATATATATTTAAAAATCATCAAATCATTTAGAACTCAGCGTCAAAGATATAGATCACCCACTAGTACTTCTTTTTGTCGCTGAGATATAAACGATTCGAAGGGTTTTAAAAATGAAAGAAAGAAGTAAGAAATGTCTTTAAATTTGTTTTAATACACTTGATTGATTTCATGCCAGTAACAAAAATATATACAGACATCCATAACGTCACCTTTCACAATGTAAAAAAACTGGATTAAAAACAAAAGATATCTCGCCAGGTTTTCTTTGAATCTGTATACTGAACTGTACAGTAGGGAAAAATTGTAATACAAAATTTTGAAGTGAAGTGTGTACCAACCAGATAATAAGGAATGTATAACGTATATAAAATTATTGTTTATTCTATACAGTTTGGTTGTAAAAATATTATAAACATTATTCTTTATAAATTATAAAGCTGCTATACCACCGTAATTTATATAATCCATGTGTAAAAAGTAACAATTATCAGGTACTTATATATAATATATTTAGTATAAATAGTATTATGCTGGACATTACAACTCAGTCATAGTTATTTGAAAGCACCAAATTAATTTTACACTGTCGTAACAAATTGTTAATATGTAACAATATTTATTTATCGGAATTGTCAAACGTATTCAATAGATGATTAAGTTTTAGATAGTACAGATGCACAATCAATAATGAATCATAACATATGAACAAAATAAATACGCAAATCCTTTAATTCACTATTAGGTTTTAACTCTGTAGACCATTCAGCTGAACTTAACTTGATTTATAATTTTAATGCCTTAGCGCAGAAAATGTTTAGATAAACCTGTGCAAACTCACGGCTATCAGGCATGTACCTGTATAGTTTCATGCTGGATTCCTGTGCAGTTGTAGACGCGTGGGAAAAGCAGAGTATAGAGCAGTATAAGGGTCGAGGGTGTGTTTATGACGTCACACGGCGGCAGGAGAGGCGGATTGTCAGTGCCACTTCGCTTTTTGCGCAAAAATGTCCGCGCGGAGATTCTGAGCGAAGCAGATACCCAAAATCTGTGTAAAATAAACACTGATTCAAATTTTGTTCCTAGAATGTTCAACTAATGATATTTACAACACAATGCTTTAATTGTGATTATTAGTACATACTCATAAATATAATTCTAGACGAAATACATATAAAGATAGGTATACATTTTAACGAAATAACTGACTCTAGAAATGGAAGTAGTGTCATAAAATAATTTTACTACTTATTTTAATTTATGGATATACTTTCTTAATGTAAATTAGATTTTACGGACCATTCATTTCATCATTCATTTAATTTCAAATGTCACATGTCACAGTCAATGCAGAATATCTTCCTAGCATTGTATAACAGAAATATTAAAAATTATACTATACATTTTTAATTTTTAATTATACACTTTCAAAAACGATATTAATATACATGTAGTTATATACACGAAATCTATTAAAGTCCAGTGACCTAGTGGTCTATTACCCTAACCTACACCGAGAGGTGTATGTCAGGTATATGTAGGTACCTACGATATGAGTTCCAATCTGGTCAACAGCTAAAAAACTATATATTTCCGACTTGACTGACTGGCCATCTGGTGATGGAAACACCGATAACAAAGCAAATAAATCTGAGAGGTGGCAACAGGGTCGCCCACTGGCACGACGGAATTAAGAATACTATACGAAATGTGATTATGTCAAGTGTTGCGTTCACCATGACTTCATAGATTAACTAATTCTGACTATCCCATCTGGGATAAGGAGGCTTGAAGGTATATTTTAATTTCATTTATAAGCGCTACATATAAGCACGATAGATACAAGACTAAAATATTATGTACAAAATCTATAACGTCATTATCACATAAAGCAAAACTAAAATATACTCATAAATCACCAAATAATTAAACTAAACTATTATTAGGCAAATGTAATTTAAAGCAACCACCAAAGTTAAAACTCAGTAAAAAGAAACAGTACGTTCCATTTTAAATATTAATGTAGTAACTAAAATTTATACAAAAAATATTGTGCATATATCAAAACTTACTTGTGCAAAAGCAGTACAAACAGCGGATGTAGCTACAATCAACAGATTGTGGTCAAACCACTCCTCGGCGGCCTCTAGACAGCCTTTGTCATATATAATCTTACCTATATCAAAACTCTACAACAAAAAGAAAAAAAAACTGATGTACAAAAACTATAGTAAAAAAAACTACTCGCTACATAGAGCTAGGACTAAAATAAACGGTAGACGAATTGAAGGCCACAGAATATAAGTAACGGTCATTTTATCTGCTGTGCTTTGTTGCAGATTGAGAAAATATAAACAAGGCCAACACCCACTAGTATCGATTTTGTGCGTCATAAAATTTAATTTTATTGAAAATAAAAAATAATAAATGCACATAAATTTTAATATCCTCCTGTACATACATATATTACAAAAATAAATCGTCGATTTGGTTGTTTTTAATTATTATTAAAGTAATAAATAAAAACATTATTATTTATTTAATATACGTCAAAGAGTTTGATCTCCAATGTTTTTTTGGTGCGACTGGATTGTTTATATTTTTTTATACAACTAAAAAGCAGTCAAATCTACATGACATTGAATCCAGAAGGCTTTAGACCTTCAAGGCGAGCGGTACAAGGAGGATAGCAGCAACTGGCGCGAAGTGTCGCTGCAGCCAATCCTCGCCGGCAGCCAAACAGCCTCGCTCATGGATGACACGCTCCGATACTTGCTACGTTTGCAAATATATATTAATAGAATACCTACCTGCGCATTATTACATTTTTAATCCTTTTTGTTACTAGAATATCAAATAAGGACATCGCAACCATCGTGTATAAACATGAACAGCACTAGATATCACGGCGAGAGTTGTTAAATTAAAGAGTATTTAAACATGTACACTCCATTTAAACTACATTGAATAATGAATTGTTACACGATGTAAATTTCATGACAATAATAATAACAGAGCTTGTATTATGGGTACCAGACAAGTGATATAATTTACTTAGACATTTTGTAAATACATAATATATAACACCCAGACAGATACAAACAATCATAGTCACGAAAACAAATGTCCGAACCATTCGGACAACCTTTCCATCGGAAGTAAAGCGGTGTGCTAAACCGCTAGACCATAGAGGTCGTCATCATTTTAATTCATAAACATTACAAACATAGTTATTTTTGCAAACTATAGTTTTACTAACTTGATAGCGTTGAAGTTAGTATGCTTTATATATATATTCTTTAATTTATATATATATTATGTGAATATCAAAAACTCCCTTTCCTTGATATTCGTAATTTACTAATGTTGAAATAATAAGTATTTTGTGAGGTACTAGATTTTAAATTGTTTTAATCCAACATAAACCGATTTATTCCTTATGTGATTATGAAATAGATGGTATCAGAATTTGTAATACTAACGTAAGTTGGTTTCCTGACGTCGTATCCGCACTGTTTGTTTCTGATGATGTCTTGAGGTTTGCTGCGGCAACAACTGAAAGGAACTCCGCAAGCCTCTCGGGATCCCACCGCTCCACTTGAGCAATTGAAGTATGCATTTCGATCCCAATCCCTGGGACCTTCGACGCCGCAACACTGAAGCTAATAATTTTACTTTATTAGATGCTTATTTATTGAATTTCCAATATCCTATTTTATTGATAAGACAAAGAGTATATTTAAATTAACCAAAGTGACATACAAACAGTAAAAAATTCACAGAGGTAGACCTTTTAACCCAAGAACATCTCTAAATGGAAATAATGACACTGTTTTGTTTATTAGAATATATAATAAAGATCCTAAAAGTATATTTGTTACTTTATAATACAAAAGGCAGTTCAAAGCAAAGCTACATGAATGGTTGTTGTAAATACCCCCAACAGGTAACAGAAATTATTTGACATACGGAAACTTTCACTTTATACCTACCAAACACTTGGCCTATCTATAAAATAAATTACTTACATTAAATAAATAAAACACCCTGGACAATTAACACAGCACCATCTAGTCCCACGGTAAGCAGAGTATATATATGGTATGGGTACTAGACAACTAATATAAATACTTAGATATATTTTTGGTAAATACATAGATAAAACCCAGACCGATACAAACAATCATACTCATGAATACAAATGTTGCACCGTGCAAGGAATCGAACCCGCGACTATCGGAAGGCGGTATGCTAAACCGCTAGACTACCGAGGCCGTCATTATATCATTATTTACTGTAAAAACTAAGATAATTAAGACTCTGTAAACAATGATCATTATTATGATAAATCAGTGTACAGAATATACAATTATAACAAGTACCTACAAAAAATGTGTATATAATTACCCAATCTTCCTGTATCCAGTCAATCAAGTTCTGTTGATCGGGATCCTCTCTGTAATGTGTGATAAATGTTTGGAACCCACTCGTAGCCTGTTGCTTTATCTGGAACATATTTTGGTTTTGTTAATAATTATAGACTAATTTGCTGCCGGCGACTTTTGTCTGCGAGAACAGGGTAACAAGTAGTTTATGTCAATTAACATTGCTACGTAAATACCAAATTGCAGTTGTTACGATACGATACGTTGTGTGCTACAAATATTGTATTTGCAAGATTTGTTAACTATTTTATATTACTGTATATACTTTAATAGTGTATTAAAGTATATAGTAATATAAAATGTATGTTCCCATTTAAATACGCCGTCTCTTCACCCAGGATCAAAACTTTATAGGTTTTGTATAATTTCACCTAATATATCCAGCTTATGTCAGTGTGTAATAATGAACCTTTGATACATTACTAAAATAAGTGTAGTGGTTCCAAAGCTTAATATGTTCATAGCAACTTTTAGAGCTTTTCTTAGCTACTAGATTCAGATAGCTCGTCTTATTCATTAAGAGGTCTTTCGACAGACCTCCCATGTCATGACTGTAGTGACTAGTAAAAATACAAAAAAATATATATTACCCAATCTTTAAAGACGAAAAACAATATTCCCGTTGCCATCTCTGCCAACAACAACAACGCAAGAAAAACTGCATACTGAAAATAAAATAAAAACATCTTACTGCACACATTAGACTATTTAGTAATAATTTTTAATTCTAATGTACATTTTTATACCGTTATTGAGTGTAAAAATTTATGTAGTGTTGTATAAATGATCGCCCAGAACGACCTGGCATCCCATTTATTAACATTTCATATAATTTGTTGTAATACACTGTAACTAAATAATTATTTACTAAGTGGTTTTAACAGTTTTTTTCCATTATGGAATTGCAAAAGAATAAATTTCCTTAAAAAGGAATCTAGGGGAAGAAACGATAACAATTGAATGTCTTTAAAAACGTAAATTATGTTTTAATTTACGTTTTTAAAGACAATCAGTTGAAAAATTTTCAATAAGGGTAAAACTTGGCGTCTCGTTAAAGGGAGCCGAATAGGGCATTTAAGCGACGACCATGATTGTTGGTCTACGACTAAATTGATAATAGGAGAGGGCAGCGATGATCTATTGTGGGTCAACGTGATTAGTAAATAAACAGGACAAACGAAGGAAGTTGGGTGCGTGCAATGCGTGCCTAGGTGCGCAGCAACTGACTACTAGTACCCTATTATACTTACAGTTACGATAACTTTCTTGGAAGTAAATAACATAGAATTAAATTTATTATTTATCCCGTATTTCAGGTTGGCGTAACAAAGAAATGTACATAGACAACAGTACAAGACAGTACAATGTCTCTTGTTTGTGAAAATAGAAGGTATTGGGGACCGGTCGAACACGACGAAATGTCGGACTATAAATTTAAATCTAAATAAACTTAATACAATAAAAAATACACTGAAATTTGAGTCTACTAGATGAAAAAGACTGTATTTTTTAAGATAGTTTATAATTTAATCATTTCAAGTTAAAAAATAAGTTGGCATCCCTAATAACTAGGTGCATACCTGCCTAATAATTGTTTATGTTACTAAATATGTAAGTACAACAGATATTAAGATATGATACTCACGCAAGCCAGCAGACAAGTATTCTCACGCAATGCGCCAACGCAACCAGTGAACCCAATTATAAATGTTATGGTTCCTACAACAAAGAAGGTAGTATTAATTCAAGCTTGTCTGTTTCAAATTTCAAAATTAGTAAACCAATTCTGAACAATTGACTGAACATAATTGAAGCACAAGCCAGATATATTTCTGTTCCGTGCCCCATGCTTATTAAAAAGTGAACAACACTCAATTCACTTAAATGTATATAACTAAATATATATAAACATTGATATCACAATCAAAATTACATCTTTATTTATATATTATTATACTTAAATATCATTACAATAATGTCAATCACCATCCAGTTTAGAATATGGTTTACAGACAATTAAAATATTATTTATTTTAATGCCAGTTACTTTATTGTAGGTTTAGGTTCAGAACTACAATGTTTATAGAACATTTTGTCATTATGAGTGTTTTAAAATCTCCATGTTTTATGTCATTTCAAAAGTTAGGATATACTTTATTTGTACAATACTCACTATCAGTTACTTTATCTTCATGTATTACCTCAACAACAGGAAATAAATAATAAAGAATTATTTCAGATGTAAATAAGAATTATTAATTTAAACTATCAAACAAAAAGACATTTTATATGATATAATTTACATAGTACTTATATATATGTTCTAGGAATTCAAATTACTCACCAACACATATTAAGATAAATGCAGGATCTAGAGCTATATTTGTGAGTCTGGAGAGATTATTAAATGTGTCCTTCTCTGACCATGCCCACACGCCTACAGCCAACACAATCAGTCCGAGAAACTGGGAAAGATACATATAGAAATTGTAATGTATTAGTTATTATTTTTTAAGCTTTACTTTCCATATAATTACAATTTTAAATATACTTTCAGATTTAATTAATTTGGTTTCTTTATATATATCCATGTAGATAAAAGACTCTCCAACTTGCTCAATGATTTTCTATTTGTCGCTATGAATTTGATTGATATTTTTCTCTGTCTACCTATTCGTCTTTTTTCTACTGGTCCCAGTCATTTTGTTAATTGGTGAGTTATAGTTATAGAGTTAGTTATAGAGTTATAACCCTTGTAATATGTCTGTCATCACTCGAGACTCTTGCATTAGTACCTCTCAAGATAACATAGATTTAAGTTAAGTGTAAAGTTAGTCTATGTCCCAACTCTACATTGAAGGTATGTGTTACTAATAAGCCATGTAACACACTATATAATAAATGTACTAATGTAAATAGTACCTACAATAATTTCATCAGTATACTCACTGTCTAGATACTACAGTAAACAATGTAAATTAAGTAGGGACACCTTGTCACATCATATAATTGCTACAGTCGTGAGGTAATAACCACTAAAATATTACATTATTAAGTAGTCTCAAACATTGCTCTACTAAAATTGGAATTTTCTCTATACCTGTGAGAATGGTACCTCTATACACCCTTTACAGCTATTCAATATATAAAATTATATGGGAAATGCTAAACTCCAGGAAGGCATATGGTACACAATTACATACATATCGTCATAGTAGTAGAATACTAACGGATCTGACTATTAATTTAATAGTCAGATCCGTCAGTATTCTACGACTATGACAATATGTAATATTGGATATATTATAATAGTGACTCATTTAAATAAGGACATTTATAAAAAGAGTCAATGATCAGTATTGATTATAAAATTTGTAAACAATAATATTATTCTCTGAACCCATATATTATATTTTTTATTATAACTTTTAAATATTGTATTTACATAGTACTACATTACCTTATTACTTCACGACATTAAACAAGACCGCAAGGATACCAACTGGTAGGATTTGGATCCATTTAGAGTAAGTAGGTCAACCTTTATTATTGTTTTACAGTAAATGCATTCAGTTCACATGTATGTAATAATGACCTAGTTGTATACAAGTGTTTAACATTCATATTGTTCTACGATCCATAGTTGTAATGTGACTTGTAAACTTGTGTCAAAATTATACGTGTAAAATAAAACCATTACAATGGATTGCACTCTCTATTTACAAGCAAAGTATAGCCTTGACTCAAAGATGTTTATGTTACAGATCCTAAAATTATACCTTGAAAGCATTCAGTATAATATAATACAGTAACAGAGACCTTTAAATAGTGTTTACTTACCCAGAATAATACATTAACACCAAAAATTACATATTTCAAACAACAGCTGACTTCACTTGTATCACGTCGATATTTTCTAATGCTAGGCATTTTCACATTTATGTATTCCTGTCATTGACAGTTATTGGTAAGAAAATTATGCGACATTTATTTGTTATTAAAGACCCAAAGTAAATTGGACGAATGAAGAGATGAGATTCAATAAATATACATTGTATATTGTATGGCTGATCGCCTCAATCCCGACTAACAGTAAAAGTTTGTAATGTCAAAGTCACTAAATTAGCAGACTGATACCAACAGATATAGAAGAAGGAAGAAGTATATAGATAGAAATTTGAAACTATATTGTTTTCTGTTACACAAACGTCTCGCTAGGGTAAAGGAAAAAGATAGCAATATTTTTGTACATGAAGCCAATGTGAAGTGTCAAACGAATGACATGTAACTAGTACTGTGCAAAAGGTAAGTACCAACTAAAAAGTCACGAAAGTACCGTATCAGTATTTCGTAATTCTTGTAGTTGTTTATAGGTGCTGTGGTTATTCATATTAGTGAACTTCTTTTAATTTTAATTGCTTCCACCAAATGAGGTCGGTGATTTTGCCAATTTGATTACGGTATTCTTGACTATGTTCGTAAAAGTTAAGAGTTTAATACGAACTTATTTAGTTACTGTAGTTACCCTCTGACAGAATGAATCTGGATATTGCATTTATTGTTGTTACGCATATACTAAAGTTTTGAAATGAAGAATAATAGAATTACCGTGAATTCAAATCAGGCATAACAAATCCTGGCAATTCGCCAAAAATGATTTTAAGACTGCTATAGTACTAATGACATTTTTTATTTACTGAAAAGAAAATCTGAGAATTTTTGCAGTCTAAAAAAACATATAAAATATTTTAAAAAAATGTACAGAGTTCGGTTGAAAAATTAAGAAAAGGTAACATAACACGGCAAAAAATTTATTGGCTTTCATTTGCATCAAAAGTAACTAGTAATGATACTGAAATAACGAGTACCACTTGGTTTAGTAACTAGTACCTACGGGACTCTACAACCCTACATATAACTGTCATCTGCATTCGTAGGAACTGCAATAGAGACCGAGTCTCAAATAAAGTACTCTGTGCCGCAGTCTCCTGAGACTTCTTGACTCGCCTCCCCCGACTTAACTCTTAAATGTGTAGATATTATTTTTATTCAGTTAGTAACGAAACGTCTTCTCTTATTAAACAATACTACTTTCACACGTTATCCAGAATATTATATTATAAACTGCCTACAGATAAGTGGCTAAAGGCAAATTATACAATTTAATTAATTAAGAAAACCTTAGTTTGGATTAATAATAGAAAACTTAACTCGAATTAAATTTTAAGGTTTCTAAAGTATACTGTAAATGTACTGTCAATCCCCCTAACTTTGCCTTTTTAACCTACTTCGCCTAAAATTTAAATACCTTATACATGTTTATTTTAAATGAATATTTTGAATGGTTGAATCACAAATGTAATAATAAGAATACTGTGTTGTGTTATGCGTTGTCCAAATGCTATATTTGACAAAAAACAAATATATAGGTTCTTTTTAGAATATATTTTTAGAAAGATCTCAGTGTTTAAAAACGTAAAAAATGACACATATATTGATTAAATAAATAAATATATCAAGTATATTACATTTTTAACATTTTTTTTCTTCTATTTATCACACATATAATTCATCCATTTAACTTTCTTCATTTTAGATTTTTGATAGGTAGTTTTTTTTTTTCAGTAAGTGATCCTGCGGCACCAGCTGAGTGGAAGCCTTTTCAGCATCGTTATCTTTTTTATCTGCAAATAAATGATATTATTATAATCGTTTCTATAAATAAATATGTTACTCAGGGTGAATGTAGCTTTCTAATGGTGAAAGATTTTTTGGAATCGGCAAAGTTTTTGGCGATTACAAACATGCATACACACAAAAATACAAATCTTTCCTCTTTATAATATTAGTGTAGATGTAGATTACAGAATAATTATAATGTTTTAGTACGAGAGGAAGACTAATGCAAAGCAAACTATTTCACATTGATTACTACGCTCCTTGTGGTTACTACCTGGTGAATTAGATATGATGGACTAACTGATTTGACGTTATTATCATTATAACATGCTCCGTTAGTGCCTCACAGCGTAACTATTTCATCACCGAAGATATGCCATTTCATCATCATTCATTAAAATAAAAGATTGTTTGTATTTTTACTTAATTATTTAATTTAATTAAATATCATAACTAATGACATTTATCCCCATCCGATGTATGTCGCTGTATCCAATCAATATAGTGACTAACTTTTGTGTACACTCCTGTAAAAAAACATAAAATAATTTGCATATCTCTGTTTTAATGTAGATATCATCACATTAAGTCTCCAGTCAAGTACACCTTGAGAAAGGAAAAGAAAATTAGTAAAGACTTCTCGTTATTGCCTACATAGTTACATACATATGTTTTGGGATTGGAAAGAGAAATAACGTAGGTACAGAATCCGAGAAGAATAATTACCTATGAGATAGTAGAATAAACTTTACCGAATTAAACATTGTAAAAACTCGTCTAGGTGTGGATCACACTTAGACGACTTTTTACAGAGTCTTCTCAGTCTCACCTATTACAGTGAAGCACTTTCATTGTATGCTGTTTCGATTGTAGGTTGAGATAAGGCAACATCTTAGTTCTCCGGAATGACAACGCATAACTCGTATCACGGGCTCCACATGATCATAGCGCTGTTCGTGTATATAGCCGACGGTCACCGTTTACCATTCGGTAGGTCATCTTGTTTGCCATTACATTTACTTAAAAAAAATACAAAAAATTAATGACTTCACAATACGTACCAGGATACCTGGGATCTGCACAACCGATACCCCAGGACACTATACCTAAAATATATGGATAGATAAAGGAACAATAGAAATATTGATAATATTAAATCTGGATTGAGAAGAAAAGAGAAAGATAATAATAACTAGGTATAAGACAAAATCAAGCATTGTGTACAGTATAAGCATATTAGTCGTTCCTCCATAAGAAAATGGTTGCCTACATTTCAACATAATTATTATATTGTAAAGCTACTTATTAGATAGACCAATACAAAAATTGCCGAAATTATAGCAAATCATGATGTACGAATACAGAGTTACCACCTGCTAGTACGATTGTATAAAGCCGTTTACAACTCAAGCTGTTTAAGTAATTTTTTAAACTATAATACTTTATTTGCTACCAGATCTAGACCAAGATATATCAACATTTAAAATTCCAAATAAAATGTTAATCTCTAGGAATGGCGTCGTATGAGAAGTACCAAAGGAGTGCATATTTAGCATAGTTAGCTTCTTGCGCTTTACAACTTAAGTGGAGTACGAAATGAACGAAAAGACACTCCGTCTTTTCGTTTGTTTCGTGTTCTTTTTGACAACCCCGTGGTATAAATAGATCAAAAGTAAATGCCGACTTATATAACTAAATATTGTTAAAAAAATACCTGCTTGCATGTATCTGCCATCTGTCCCAAACACTAATAAAGGCCCTCCGCTATCACCCTGTAAAAATAATAAACATTAGCAGAAATTTTATCAACTTTATGTAGTATATAAAGTTGATAAAATTGCCTGATCCAGAGCAAATAGTTAACACTTGATTAATACAAGAGAAGTGTGTAAAAGATAACCGTTTTACCTGACATCCGTCCTTTCCTTTGGAAAAAGCACACATCATTGTAGGCTTGATATGTTGCGCTAATTGAGACTCCATACATTTTTCGTCAGTAAGAATCTTGAGACTAGCCATTAGCAATACTTTAGAGGATGATTTATCTACACCGACACGACCCCACCCTACAATAGTCCCAGTCCAACCGCCGAAGTCTAAGCCTGCACACATTTTAACAAATAAAAGATACTTACGATATTTTCAAACTTCTAATAAAATTAGAAATGTCTTCTATTTATCATAAAAATGAAATAAAATTAATATGACATTCTAAACTGTTATAAATTACTTATAGTACCTATAATTAATAGAGTGTATTGTCATCTGTATAAGAAAACCAATGAATACACAATAAAAATAGGACTTCAAAGAGTAAAAAGGTAAAATTAATAAAAATAGACATATCTAATATTCCGCGATCATAATGAACTTTTAATCTAATAACTTTACATGTTAAAGAAGGCATCTAATTCAACTAAAAATTAGCTCAGATAAAGGAACTTAAATTTTAAAGTCCATTTTCGAGAAGGGTGGCGAGAAAAATTTAACAGACCTTTAGGACAAATTTGATGCACAGTACACACCTGCTCTGCATGTTTATATTCTACGCTCTGTGTTTATTGGTGATCCATAATACAGATGGATAAGTATATATATATATATATATATATAGTAAGTATTAAACCCAAACCCCTACCTGGTTCAGGTAAGCAGATAGGAACAACAGTTTCCCCAAATACGATTGGTGAATTAAGCGTGGCTATAGCTATATCATTTACATCCCGCACCGCTGTTGATGTGAAATCTTCATGAATTACCACTTTTGATATATTTCTCTCAGTGACGTTTTTCAAATTATCCATGTCATCCAAACCAATGAGAACTATCATGACGTGGAAATTATCCCTAAGATTAGGAACATTAGAATTAAAGAATTATTAATTAATGTTATAATTGGCAAATTTAATGGCATATTGTCCAAAATATTCAACTGTTGTGTATGTACGGAACAGTTTTCTGTATCTTTATAGGGCTAAGTTTTAGGTATTGTATTAAAATCATAGACAATATACCCTAGCTGAGACTTAATTTATTTTTATAACGATAGATACAGACATCGTTGTGATATACATCTAGCATTATCTATAGGTATCTATAGTGTCGACGTTGTGTTGAACCTAACACTTGTCATGCACACTTTTTCTGAGAACATTTCAATCCAAGAGTAAGAGTAAGCATAGACCTAATGCTTTTTTTTCTTTTTGCCATTTAATCTTTCATCGTTATCTTAAAACTAAATAAGTCGGTATGCAGTTACATTTACAAACGTCAGAACTGAAATAGAACATAGATGGTTATTTATTTACTGAAGGTTATATTTTAAAAAGCTACGAGTACAATACAAATAAGCTAACTCTGTTTCGTAACTATTAACTATAACTTATCTTCCCATTGCTGCCATAGCTTTCCTAGTTTTCCTACTAGAGAATGTTGTAACATCAGTAGATATTTAGATATTTTAAATAGGTTTCATATAAAATACTTAGATACTTATAAAATACTTACTTAAAATAATGTTTTGTTATAATTGAATATATAAAACCTACCATTTAAAACAATGTCCAGCACTGAGGACATGTCTGTTGGTCATAATGGAGCCCCCGCAGTGCATACGATTGTTCTTGAGTATCGCTACGGCCCAGGGAAACGAGTGTGGCTGCGCCCTTCTGCCGCCCACAATTCGCATAGACACTATTTTATCGGACGCTTTACCGCATTCTGAGAGATATATTAAAACTACATAACTATTATACTAATTATTGCAAAAAAATATTTGTCTAACGCATTTCTACTAATATACTCCCATATTGCAAACATATAAAAATACTTGGGTAATTAGTTATTCAAGCTCCTACCTTATCTACAACATTTTTTTTTAAATTAGAATACCAAAAAATCTGACTGATTATCCAAATGGTAATACTTACGACATCCATTCTGTTCTAAAGTTGTCACCACCTAAAACATAAGACCTATTCTGCTATTATCACATTTCGAATTCAACGTCATCGACTCGTATTCGAATATTTAGATACACACCTGAACGAATCCTACAAAAAAACTAACCAAACGGATACATAACATAATTAAAGTGTATTCATTCACACCGAAGAACACCGGGCGACTCACTGTTGCCTTCTTTCGATACCTTTTGCTTATTTACGTTCTATGTACACTGATTTCAAGCAGTGCAATTATCCACGCGATAATATCCTTGTAAATTTAACACACCAATGGTTATAATTTTTGTCATGGACATTGATATAGTCATTTTCAGTGTCATATTACTTCCCATTTACTCATTAATCTAATGCTGATATAAATCAGTTCTAAATACTGCAGAATCATAAATCATAATCAAGATTTTATTCTATAAATATTCATATACGTATCTAATATTATAAACCTGCAACAGGTACAATATATTATTATAAATTCAATTTATTTTTATAGCTGTTCGCACTTGCAATTTCTTATCGCACTAGTTTATTACGTTATTTATTAAGCATGTAATGTAACCACAATGTATTTCTAATTAAAAGAAACACCATGAAATATATATACATACTAATAATATTATAATATATAATATATATACACATGATGATATATTTATGTGTAGTATATAGTAATAAAACGAATATTGGAAAAGTAATAAATATTTGTATTATGATTCTTATAAGTATTATGATATACAAGTCATTTTGGTGTTGTTAAAACATTGTTTTCGAGGAAATACAGGATCTGATAACTTTTTGTACTGATAAAAATTGGGTAGGTACGTCAGCATTATTTGAATGCGGTAACATCATTAAATACAATACATGCCATCATTTGTCTGTTGTCTTATCCACTGAATATACTTCGGTACTATGGTGTAGACACCTGCAAAGAAAATAGAGTACAACATCAAATACACCAGAGTAACATATAGGCTATAAATTTCACGTGGGTGAAACCTCAAATTATACAAGGTTTGACCAAAATCGTATTCAATATCCTGTAACAATAATGCTGAATCCAGTTACTGGAGATATATACCGGTCGGTTTATATATTCGAACACATTGCAATCTCATATTATTAAAATTGATAAGGGCCTAATCCGAGCTATATAGATGCTATATGCTATATAGAAATACTAGCAACCCGTTCTTACTTCGCACAGACCTATAGTGTATTTATTTAATCGAATTAGGTGTTTATTTTGCAGAAGTCCATTTTACTACTTAATGGATTTATATTATTTTGTTTAATTCCACTACAATAAGCATGCTTGAGACCACAAATATTCAGTATGGAAACTTGACTACAGTTACGACCTTCTCTAATGGCGATCAAATTCCGAACGTTATTGAGTCTACACCCATATCGCGACACGTGTTTCGCCTCTGAACGAGGCATCATCAGACGTTGAATAGAGTTCGGGTACAGCTCGGAAGCCTAGTGTTGACTATTCGGCGACCAAACCGCGACTTGGTACACATGCTAATTGTAGCGGAATTAAGCATAATAATATAAATCCATCAAATAGTACTAGTGTATGTAACGGAAATAAAATATGTAAGTAGTTATAAGTATACATTTAATTAAACACTCTGTTATTAATACAAAAATCATACCTGGATAATCAGGCATCGCACAATCTATGCCCCATGACACAATACCTAAATAAAAAAATTAATGATAAATTTTATTAATTAATATTTTATTTTCTATATATTTATTTCCTTGTTATATCATATCTACTGTAATTGTATATCATATAAACCTATTCAAACAGGCATAGGAACCCATTATATTATATTACGCATGATTTTTCCAAATTGGTCCATTATTAAGTCTAAAACAGACATGTTTAAATTTTAAACTGATGTGATTCTATGTGATCTTGGAAATGTTGTTTTTTTTAATGATAGATAAATATGCCGAATATTTTATTTTACATCTGTAAACCGGTAAAACCATCTTCTTCACATTTCATCAATTTTCCTCTGAATTTAAAGGGAAAAACATAACTTGGTATAGGAATAAGAATTAACAGATCAGGTAAGCATTTTTTTTTATCTCATTTATATCTAACAAGTCTACTCTATAGATTCATTAAAATTAAAGGAATCTATAAAATGTCCATAAATAGAGCAGTGAGCCATCTATACATTGTTGTTTGATAGCATAATCTATTCAAGTTTAAAAAAGTCTTACCAACTTGGTACCATTTTTTGTTTTGAGTCTTTTTGTGAGTTGCGAATAGAGGTCCCCCACTATCTCCCTGTAATTTTATAAATGTAGTAAATATTTTCATTCATAAATTTATATAATATAATCCACTTTTTTCATTTTCAATCACTAATTGTCATAACTTTTTGTAACAAAAAAATATAATTATGTATTTAACAATGCACAAATTATTACTGTAGTTTTTAGTAAGTACCTATTAATATATTAGTCAGAATGGAAATAGGACAAAGATGATTCCATATTTACTTTCGGTTATATTTTACCTAGTAATTCATAATGATTCATGAATGATACTTTGGTATTTTATATAATATATATTATATTTAAAATATAAACTGATTGTACTATAGTTTAGATCTAATTCATATTTACAAGGCATCTTCATCATCATCATTTCGTGAACTGTCTGTATATCGGCATTCCACATAAAAAAATAAACACAATAAGTTATTCTATAGTAGGTAGATACAACATTGTAACTATGTGCCTGTAGATTAATTATAAATAATGTGAACAATATTATTCACAAACCTGACATGCATCTTTACCCAGACTGTATGCACACATCATTGTATCAGAAACGACATTGTCTTTGTATATAGATGACTTCCGGCACTTCTCGCTTTCCACTGTTCTTACTTTCGTTTCTAATAAATATCTAGATGAAGTTAGAGCCCCTTGTCTTGTCTTTCCCCAACCGGCAACGGTTAGAGGTATGTCATTAAATTCCATATCTAAAATTATTATTAGTTAATATACGAGTATAGAAGAAAACAAATTGATAACGCACCTAATAGAAAACGATAACCATTCTTTATATAAACACATGAACTACTGGAATAAAAAAATATAATGTTCCTGTATTACATATAAATTTGTACAGTATCCTTTTGATAAAATAACATTTTAAGAATTATTAATTAATAATTTTATGTCATGTGAAATCAACCATTCATTCACATCTATCATAATGAATATTATAAATTATGTTAGTCTACTAACTCTTGAAATTGGCTGTCATACAAGAACAGGCTGCTTGTATAATACTGAATTTATTTATTGTATTTATAAAACTAGATACTTTGTTCATGAAGAAGAGATTTCTTCTTATTCTTTGTACTTCATAGATGTATCTATTTCAACTATTTCAGCCACCAAAGAATGTTTTGCCATCGTATCTCATGCTTTTGGAGCATAGTGAAATTCCAAACATTCATCACCTGCTTCTTCCTTATCCCATTTATTTGAGGTCGGCGTAATATGTTTTTCTCTTCCAATCATCCCTTTCGCAGTCATCTCGTTATTTATTCCCTTTCTTACCATATCACCTTTTCGATAGTCCATCCATCTCTTTTGCGACCTTCCTCTGCCCTTATAACCATCTATATATTTATATGTAGTGAATTTCCAAACATTACATCTTACGCAATAGTTTCCTTGCAATTGTTTCGTATATGGGGGAGCACAGGCATCACATCATGACGTGACATTCGTGCTGCTGTTCATGTATATTGGCTCACATACGTAAGCCACGTTACCACAGAATGAACGGTCAACCTAATTAACGTTCTAATATGATATAAAAATCATATAGATTACGTTAAATCAACAGCAAATACCTTCTCTTGGTAAGCAGATGGGTCGTACTTTGTCCGTAAACTTCAATCTTTTATCCAGCGTTAATATAGCAATGTCATTGATATCCCTGACTGCATTCGAAGTAAAAGATGGATGTTTCACTCCATTTATCACATGTAGGACAGTATAAGTATTGTCTAGACGATCATGCATTCCTACATTTACTGTTATGTCATGAAAATGTACGCTGAAATTTGAAATTCACATTTAACCACAGTTACTGGGCTAGGGATTCGATTCGCCTATATATTATAGTAGTAGTAGTACTACGTGCTTGTATTCTGCCGGGAAGTATTTATTTATATCAATATAATTGCGAAATCACACAGCGCCATCTAGTCTCAAGGCTAGACAACTGATAGTAACATTTAAATACTTTTTTTTTTATAATATATACACAATATACATAGAAAACTCCCAGATCATTACGAACTTACTCATGAACATGACAAATGTTAGCATTAATGCGAGAAATTGTAGTTAAAGTGGTATGTTAAGTTGCTAGAACACCGTGGTCGTCAATTATCTAAATTTTTGTTACCTCGGAACCAACAAGTAATAATTTCAGTGCTATATACAGTAGCTACGCGGAGTCATATTACATTAATATAGCTATATTTATACATATTTGCATAACATATAAAACTACTCGTTATAAATACCAGGATGTAAGTGGCCAAATGTCTAACGAAATTGCTATCACATTATTCCTAGTTTGGAAAGTCAATTTCAAGTCAAATTTCATTTCATTTCATTTCATTTCATTTCATTTACTCTAATGCTGTTACTGCTAATGCGGTCTAATGCTATCCTATACAGCTTCAACTGACTATAGGAGGCGAGTGCAGATAGTACTCAAAATCCACGGAAGGACTTATGAAGCCGTTGAAGACCAACTCCTGCCTGACGGATACGACTTTAGTCTGAGGGCACCGCTAGGGATTCGAATCTCCACTTTGGCCGTCGTAATTTCGATCTCCGTTAAAATTGGACTGGGGATCGTTCGGAGGACCTTTCCTACTATGATATTTTTTTATAACGTTTGCAAATTTAAATAATTGGGAACTATTTTTGTTTCATTTCTGATCAATATATTAAAATCTTTGAAAAGAGTGACATGATTTGCAGCTTACAGGAATATTTTATTTTCTAGATCGTTTTTGTATTATAATTATAGTATTTACCCAAACGTAATGCAATGTCCCGCTGTTAACACGTGGAGATCTGTTATGATGGCTCCACCACAATGTAATTTGGGTCCGAGCATAAGTGACACAAGCCATGGATACTGGTGTGGCTGGACCGTCGTCCCTCCCACTATACGACGATTCTTGCCAGCTAATCCACATTCTGTTCAAAGTATACAATTACAAGAATTATTCGTTCCATTTAAATGACATTTAAATTCACTTACTGATGGATTACTACTCTATCAGTAACAACAAAACTATATCTATCAAATAGCTCAAATAGCTGGCAGAAGTTTAGTCATGAAAAGGTGATGACCAACGATGGTTCGCGTCTATAATAAATAAAACTTTTTATAGGACAAGTTTAGTAGGTTAGTGAACACTACCTCAATATTTCACGTAAAAGAAATATATAGACTTGAAACCAGTTAATTATTGGATAAAAATGTATTACAGCATAGTTAACAGGAGGAATGTAGGATCAATATACTGGCTGCTACCAGCTTATTGGAGAAACTCATTGTATTTGATCATTATATGTGTACATAACGGTCATAATATCTATAGGCGACGCTCAGTTTCTCATGGTACAGGATTGGCAATAAAGCTGGCTCTGAAAGATCATGATTTAACGTCTCAGATCTCTCCTTCTCTGCCATTCTAGAACACTAATACGTTATGAATTTAACCCTCCAACTGTAACAAAGCTTTGTTAGTTTGTTGCACGCTATTCGGCAGTAGAAATGAATGAGACAAAAGTAACCCGCGTGGACCTCTTTGGGAGAGACTACCTCTGTTACCTAAATACTATGTAAATGTTGATAGTAATCAAAATGAACCGTTGTTCTATTATTATCATAAAAACCCATTCATCATCTCCTAATATATAAGAAGGCATTACTTCCCGTTGCCGCTCCCATCAGATGACTTGGTATAAATACCACATTTAGACTGTTGCCTCTCTTACACCCATACTACCTATTTGTATTTTCACGATATTAAATGTTGATATAATATTCTATAATCATTACCACATGAATTGTTGAATCTCTGAGAGTAAGTCTGTAAACACGAAGAAAATTGTTACAGAAATAATAAAAATCGTAAGTTGATTTAATTATATCATTGTTATACGTTATCCTTACCAATCTAATAATTAAACAAATATAAAACCATAACTGATTCATGATACCATGAATCTTTTCCCATAAAATCAACGTAACATCACGTAAAGGACAAAGACGAATTCAATTGTCGGCATAATACAATGATTTGCTTTGGCGATAAATCAACGCACTTAATTAAAATTGCAAGTGGCATACGATGCCCACTCATGCATAATTTATGTTTAGGAAATAATTACGTTTCGTCACACGTGTCATTTTAGCGATTTTTCCTTTAAATTTTAAATCTACGAAATTTACGCAATAAAATCTCAACAACAGACGTGGAGACAATATATCCTTATATAATATTAAACAAAATCGCCGGCGCTGCCTGTTCATTTATATCTTTTAAATTACGCATAGTATTTTAATGTAGTTGTCAGTATTAGATAGAGTGATTTAAGAGAAAGGTTTATATATAAAATACATGCATATTATAGTACCTACAGAACAAGTCGAAAAATTCTTGTAATGCATGGCTAGCGACCATGCATAACATTAACAATAAAAAACCAGTATAGTTCACACCGCCATCTAGAGAATTTAGGGATAGGACTAAGTTTTGTGTGTATATTTCATTGGGTTTCTGGATGGTATAAAAGACAACTGGACCCAGTACTTACCAAGCAATAAATAGGTAGTCTGCTGGCTTGTATAGATATTATATATTAATAAAAAACAAATTAATATACAATGTTTTTAATAGTATATATATATATATAAATATGCTAAATTGTATTAGTATCGGTTAATATGTAAATAGTGTCTTACAAATATTGAATAATAACACTGCATTTGCTAGTTTTTGACTATGTTAAGCTATTTTAAAAAAATAACTGTTTTAAATACCTACTACATATATATAAATAAAATTCAACAGTAACTTTATTCAAAATCATTTCCCATACATTACGTTAATATTCATACTATTTAAATATTATTGCTTCTTTATTGAACTGCAATTGATAATTTAATACTATAATGGTTTTCTATTTAATTTGTACATATTAGGCAAAGTACGATATTTTAACTAAAACCTAATGACAACAGACGGACAATATGTTATGATTTTTTACTACATCTAGGTAAATCAGATGGCACATATCTTTTTTTATAACACCACATATATGTACATAAAGTAAAAGTTTCTAGTAAAAACATCTGTGCTGATTCTGGAATGTAACGATAATTATAAAAAAAGTATAAATCTATGTCAATAACTTTTGTTCAAAATATTTATCTGTTCAAGTTTTTGTATCAACTTACCAGATTAAATATATATGCTCAAGCTTGTAATTTATAGTCCTATAACATTGTATATGTATTATAATACTGTGCTTTATTTATTGCACTTATTTATATGTGAAATGTGAAATGTGAAAATATGCCATAAACTCTTTATTTAAAATAAAGAGTTTATGGCATATTTTCTTATTATATTGATTAGGTATGTACCTCAATGAATTATTACTTATTATTATAAAAAAGAATTGTACCTACCACTAAATGTAGAAAAATAGCCATATCAACGGAATCATTTTGCTGATGAATAATATTTTTTCTCATGTAACCGGTTCGACCTTATCATGAAGATTATATTAACCTTTAAAAAATTTTGTACGTGAATAATTTTGAAATCTTTTTAAGTTATTTAATACCCGTATAAGCCAACACCAATGATAACGTAAAAAAGAATTGTAATTTAAATAAATAATAATAAGTTAATGATACACTGGTCAATGACACAAAATTCTATAAGCCAGTGGCTCTACAAACAATTGCAATCTGATGATATAGTATCCCTAATCCAAGTTATATGATCAATAACTCTTGTATAGAGTGCTGCTTTGTTGTCATCGCACGTGGTTGAAGATGATATTACGCCCACTAAACGGTAGGGAAAAGTTGCTGACCACCGCCATAAAACTGGTGCTCCAATGTCAATCTAGGAATAAAAAATATTATTTTAAATACTCTTTGATCTGCGTTTAACATACATCTATGGTTGAAACGAATGAAAAGGGCTTTCTATAGTACATAGGTACATTTTGTACAGTATTCTATTCCAAGCATCATAATGCTACATGACATGTACTGAACATAATTACTAGCGCCTGTATAATAATTAATAATAATAATAGCTTAGTTCTCTGGAAATATAATACATTAGTAATATCACTGGTATCACATTATAATGATGTCCATAGTGCTAATCATACATAAAGGCAAGCCACTCCAATTATATTAAAAATGTACATAATAAAACTTACAGATAAATATTATTATACTTACATTACAAAGGATGCTGCCAGAGCCCTGGGGAGCAAAGCAAGATTTGTCTTGCGTTACCAAATCTCCATTTGAACCATAATGACAGCCTGCGGCCGGCAGAGCTGGGATCGTGCTAATACGTGGTATACAAGTTGAAGCATTTGCAGAACTTAATGCCCATGAATCCGTCCAATCTACTTGGTCATATTCTTGTAAGCCTAATAGAAAATATATATATATAATATAATATTAAGCACAAATATGTCGAGGGTACAATTTAATATAATTTTACAGGGCTTTTGTACTTTTTTTTAATTAAGCAATGCTTACTATTCTATTGTCATTACAGTTGTAAAAAAAAATTATATAATATATTTAATACTCTTAATAAAACCAACAAAAAAAAATTAAGGACTTTATTTGGTCTTGTAGAAATGAATATCGTAGCACAGAATGACACTATTCCGTATTATGTAGAAACTCTCTACTTTAGTAATAACTAGCTGATATCCGCATCGTCGTCTGCCTTTATCTATATAAAAGATTGGCTATGTCCTACAAGCTATTTTTACTTCAAGTTCATTACGTTTCGTCGTGAAAAGGTAATTCACCCCTGTCATCCAGAGGGGATAACTGGTAAATACATATTATACATCTTAAACAGTAAATATCTCGTCAACTATCGACGTTTTGGCAAACAACATTTAAGGCACCTACATTTTGTTGCAACGTGTCATGGAGCGATCTTACCATCATACATATCATACAGATTAACTTTCTTATCGGTGTATCAAAAAAAATAATTAAATTCACATACTAAGATGTTTTTGATATTGGACGAATTCAATCCAAGACTTTTCATATAAATTGGATATATTAAATAATGACGCAGCATAGTATTGAATAAAAATATGGCACATACCAAAATATGGCAAGCAAACAGGAGATATAGTGTCGCTAAAAGTGACTGCATAACGCAACTTGATCAGTGCCAAATTACTGTCCAAATTAGCGGGGGCGTAGCCCGGGTTAATGGTGACTGCTGATACGTCGCTCTTCAGCGCCGAGTCACCGTGACAGCGATCGTATACCCCTAATGTTACCGTTATATTGGTGATGGGAACCCTGAAAGAGAAACAATGATACTGTATTTTTATTTCATGTATTATACTGTAATTAAAACTGTAATTTTGCTATCTTATATAAGCCTGCAGCCACAACAAAGGTTACAAAGCAAGCTGCTTAGTAGCTGAAATAAGTTCAGGTAGGGTTTTTCAGTCTACTTCTGGCATTATTTTTGGTATAGATTAAAGTTATTTTTTAGGAAACAATATATGTAATTGTATCAATTTCGTTCACCAGTCAGAACGTATAGCCTATATAATATGTATTCAACCTGTTTATATATACGGCATTTTGGATATAAGTGGCAAAAAAAATATCTTTACCCATATACTGGTTCTGCTGCAGTAATAATATGTTGATCGCTTATCAATGATCCCTGAACAACTCTCGTTCCCGTATTCACTAGCACTACCCATGGAAATTGACTTGGTACATCAGCAGTTTTTCGGAATAATAATCCTCTTCGTTGGGTCTGTACTAAACCACATCCTGAAAGAAGAATGACATCCACAATGTGCAGATCTAGTCTGATATTAGGTGAATATAGTTCATATAAAAATATATAAATATACACTTTTTCTGGTATCCCATATAGGTACCGAATACCGATACCGAAATCCATAAAAATGTAGGGATGTCTAGTATTTCTATTCACGCAATACTAGACATCCCTACATTTCGCCGAGTAAGTATATTAAAATCACATTCGTGGCGTTTTATGAATAAAAAATGAATCTCAATATTAGGATGCCATTAATAATTTATATCAATATTAATTATCTAATTACATTTACAAACAAATTTGGGAAAAATATTTTATTGTCATAATTTTGAAATGAAAACTTTGAATAAGTTGTTCAAAAAACGTTTTGTTTTTATTAAATATTGATTGTCAATTTTTTCACAAACCAGTAGAGGTAAAAATATTAATGTAGATAAAATTTATGTGTGAATAAATCCTATCGATAGTAAAGTAAATTAATTAATTTCCATTAAATTAAATATATTTTGATAGTGCAATTACAAATATTGATACTTACTACATAAACAATATTTCGGTATGCCAAAGAAACTCGCTTGCCCGAAACACTGCAAGAAATAATAATGTAATCATGCAATGCAAACAACAAGAAAAAAACGTTAAAAATGTTTACCAGAACTTACCAATATGTATAATAAAGAAAAACAAAATAACGGTACTCGAGCGTACATTGTAAAGAATCTAAGACTAGATCCAATAATGAAGAACTCTAATTTGACAATGACTTTGTTAGGGTTGTGTTGTCTGATATTAAACACTCCAATGATACATGCGGGTTATACGATTTCGTCAGTGTGATAAAACTTAGTAAAATAACATGACAAGGTCATAAGCAGATAAAAGAAAAACAATGGTTATTTGGTAAATTCATTAACAATTTTTTAATTAAACCTTAAAGAACAATAGGTTGTAAATTGAAAACTGTATCATGTTTTACAAAAACATGCTAGCTATCTCGGAATTACATAAAATAATTTAGGAATACGGTATGTTAATATTATTTAAGTAATCAGAATTAAAAGGTAAGTACGTAATATAAAATTAAGATATAATACTTCTAATATATTGAATGGTTAAATTCATTAATTTTTATGATCATTTGTAGTAGTGATGGTTGCATTACAGAAACAAGCATCACAACTATTGTTTTTAATCCAATTAAGATACTTAGTAACTCTTGTATACACGCCAGGATATCCAGGCCGGCCGCATCCAATACCCCATGATACAACACCTGCAAAAATCAAATCCCAATTAAAATTAAATGTGTAGATAAAGAAAATAGTATGCAAATAAAACCAAATTTAAGGAATAGGTAATACCTATCAGTTCATATCGTTTGTCTTTTCTTTCAACACACAAAGGCCCTCCGCTGTCTCCCTGAAAATGTTTAACATACTTACTAATTAATAGTGTCTGATATTATAATCTTTCTATAATGAAATACACAAAAATGACCTTCACGATGGAATAGTCAGATTCATTGTGATATGATGATATGACAAACATCGTGTCTTCCTGCTCATATTTAAATCCAACGTAAATGAGCTTACCTCAGTTAACTTAAATGGAAATGACCTTAGCATCATCTTTCAAATTAATGTAAATCATTATCGAAATTTTCATTATTAGAAGCGAGTCAGTCAAAAATATTAAAGTTTAGTTTTGGTGTCTCTCAGATTCGAAGTTAGGACCTTTGGGATCGAAGTCCAAGTAGTAAACCTCTTTATCTCCCTAATTATATCACGTATAAAACAAGGCTGAAATTTGTAATCAATAAAACGGTAAATTAGTACTAGGTAATTACACGTACCTGACACGTATCCTTCCCTCCCTTATCCGGGTATCCGGCGCACATCATACTATCAGCAATCATCGAGGCCTCGTACTTGGTTTTTTTACAATCATTATTACTTAATACGGGCAATTCTACTTCCAATAAGTCGCAAGAGTGATTTTTCTTTTCAGACACTGTACCCCAGCCCAGTGCAAAAGCTTTAAATATTACATAACTGCTCTCTGAAACAACAATTAATTCTCTTTACATTATTTTACATTTATAATACTTTTTAAAATATTAGAGGAATATGAGAAAAAGTCAACAGTTATATGACAATATGAAGAATATAATATTAAATAGACTTTTGGATCTAATAATCATCATCGTTAGGTATATCAACATAAGCAAACACTGTCTGTCAGAAAATTATGTTCCTACTTTATCCAGAGTCATAATTACTTACTTAGTACCTATTCTATATTGTGCCCTAGATAATCTTTTCGATACAATTTTTGTTCAACTTTCATATGTGATTCCATATCTTCATTGTCTAATATATATGAAATATTAATATACGGTAGTGTTGGCAAACTATATATGGCTCATTCATCTGATGGTAGACGGTTACCGTATCCTATTGACGCCGAAAAAACTAGGGTATTAAGTGCTCATTAGCGATACATCAAAGTAGGTAATATAGGTATGGTATATTAAACAGCCTAATATCAATGTTCTTGCCTTTATAAGATAAAAGAAATGTCACAACTTTTTTCTGGATATGAGAACTTATTGAAGTAATATATAGTTAATTCTAAAATAAAAATTAACTAACCGTCGTCAAATGGCAGACAAATAGGCTTGATAATCTCGCTGATCTCCACTGGTGCGTTCAGCTTCAGTAGAGCAATATCATCTCTTAAGTAGCGGTATGTAAAATTATGTGCGGTAACCTCGATGACAAACCTCGTTTCGGGACGGACTGTCGCATTGCAATGGTTGTGCTCTCCCAAAGTCACTTTTATCATGAACCACATGAGGCTGGTAATCAGATTTAATACGAAATTTATATACATATATGTAGGTACTTCGTACATCATTCTGTTAATATACAATAAAATATTTATTTAATAATCATTTCCTAAATTGTTCAATAAAAATACTTATGAGTATATCATCATCATTATCTCGAGCCTTATCTACCCATTTATGAACCTTCCCCATTCACCATATGCGATTATCCTGGAACTATCAAAAGACCAGTTTTCTCAAGTCCAAATTGAAGTTTTAAATGACTATTATTTCTACTAGGTAATGAGGTAAGTTAAAAATAATATAAAAAAATTACTTGCATAAATAGCCGGAATGAATAATGTCTTTTATTCTGAATATGAAATTATGAACCTGAGTATTTTACTCTTTAAAAAATATACAATAACAATAAATACCATAAAATACAAACTTAATAACACAATGTGCTGCTGTAAGTACATATCTATCGTTGATAAGCATGCCACCGCAATAAAACTTGTCGAAATATGTTAAACGAAGAACCCATGGGAATTCGTTCTGAGCAGTCTTTACACCATCCACTATTCGAGAATTTTCGTTCCTTTCTCCACAACCTGTAAATTAATCACAGTCGCAAAAATTATTTTTATATTTATAATTAAAGTGGTAAACAAACTGATGGCTCGCCTGATGGTAAGTGGCAACCGCCGTCTACATAGATAGCGTCTACATACACGGACATACGCCATCATTTGAACCACTCATGTATTGCATCACCCTGTAATTTTACTGCCTTGTGTCACCTTTTAAGCAAAATGCAGATTGGAACGCAAACTGCTAACAAATAAATCTTATTTTTTTATACCGGCTTCAAACAGATTTTTTGCTTTATAACATTTTTGCGTGATATCCAGTAGGTATTATGTATTAAGACTAAACCAAATATGACAATTTATTTTTTTAATTAAATAGATACAATGCTATATTTGTTCTACAGATAATAGTTATTGTCAAATTCGCAACTTGAAATGAATGAATATTGAAAGATTGTAAACGTTTCAATATATTGTATCGTTATAGAACAGGATTTATAAAATACATTTTAAAAAACGTAATATAAATTATAATAAACATGATAAATATCATTGCAGATCTAAATTAATGACTCTTGCATATTCTCACTTGACACAATATGATGAGGTACTTTCTTACTTAATTAAAAGCATACCTAGTTTACTTACGACAGTTGCAATTATTGTAATAATTTAATCTGCTCATTTTCTTCTCACATTTGACATCATTGTTCTCCACAATCGTTGTTACCTTAGATAAAAACACTACCTATTATATTATTCAATTAATATTTTCACTGTAGCAATACTTTTATTAAAACTGAACCTTACCACAGATCCAAGAATGTAAACTCCTAAAACACACACAAACAATATCTTTAACATCGCAAAACTTTAAATTAAATGTTTAAATGTGTATTTTAAGACATAAAATATAAGCAAGTCTTAAATCAGGTTCAAGGGCTAAAATGCAACTGGTCTGGTCCGCAAGGAAGCTGAAGTAATGGGGGCAATGCACTGCAGAGCTAGCAAGTAACATCGTAATTGTACATATACAAGTTATTGTATATTATCACTATATGACGTATGAATATATATATTATTTTTCTATTTATCTTAGCTTACTAATATCATAAACACGAAAGTTTGTGAGTATGGATGGATAGATGGATTTTGATGAAACTTTACTGTAATATAGATTATAACATCAGAATGATACATATGTAGGTTACATTTTAAAAAGATATTATGTAAATTGGGTGAAATATAATAACCTTTGTTTTTGCAATATTACTAAAAAAAGCATCTCATATGACGGCAAAATGATTTTATTCTAAACAAATGCTTGTCGAATTATTCTCTCTTTTTTGTAGGTGTGTGAAATACTTATGAGCTAAAATAATAATACACTTTTCATATTTATTGTTTACTCTAAAGTCGTAATACACTATACAGTTTTAATAAGGCCTAATTAAAATTTTCCAAGGAAATAGATATATGAATTTATAGAAAAAAATATTCACATAACACTGAACTTTCAAAACGTTTCTCTATATTTTTTTTTTCTTTTTACTATTATATTACTACTACTTGTATGGAACTAGATCGTCTAGTTTCATATTTCAATTTCAATATCTATGTTTTGTGAAAGTCGTCTAGCTGTTAGATAACAGATTTAATTGCAAATTTATGTTAATGTCAATTAAATACATATTTATTATAATCTCATAGTTCAAAAGTAAAATTAAGCTATAAAACTCCTAATAATAATTTTATTTTATAAATCGCTTTATAAACTTTTTTTCTTTATAACTAAGAAAACCTGTATCTTTCGATTTAGTAGTAATAAGTCTTTTATAATTTCTTTTATACTAATTTAATAACTGCAGTAACATCCATCTGCAGCGTTGTCACTAATCCAGTCCAGGTATTTAGTGACCCTGGTGTAAACTCCAGGATAACCTTTCCTTGCACAGCCATAGCCCCACGAGACGACACCTGAAATTAAATTCATAAAATTCTTTAACTTAAAGCAATTAGATAAATAATTGCTCATCGTGTTATAATAAAGTATAAAATAAGTGTTCTTTGTAGTTTTATAACTCCCAATTTTTCCTATTTAGACGATCTTAATTTTCACTACCTATACTAGACTTAAATTACTTTGATTTTTATTCATTGACAGTTACTAAGTATTAATTCTGAGTAAAATATTTTTAGAATAAAATACTGTTATTTAGAATAATATGTTTACTTACCTATTAACTCGTAAGCGTGATCCTTGTTTTCCGCAACCAAAGGACCTCCGCTGTCACCCTGTAAATATGTTATATTCTAATATTATTTTAAATGTATATAGGGCTCTAGTAGCTTTGTATACAGCTTTACTTCTGATGGTCACAGGTTCGATTCCTCGCACGGTGCAAACATTTGTATTCTTGATTATTACTGTTTGTACCAGTCTGTGTTCTATGTATTTATATCATTTAACTTGTACTAATAACTCAAGTCCTGCCTAGTTTAGGAGTAACTGATGACGTTGTGATATGTTTTAACTATTATTAATACATATAATATAACGTACCGTACATGCATCTTTATGCGCTGTGGCAGGGTATCCAGCACACATCATAACTTCTTTAATTTTGGAGGCATTATAATTAGTACTCTGGCACACTTCATTGCTAAGAACCGGCAGATCTGCTTGTAGAACTGTACACGACCAATTTCCAGTCTCCCCGGTCGCGCCCCAACCGGCCACTATGCCCATTGTACCCACGTAGTCTTTAGCTGTAACAATAAACTGTAATTGTTATATGCTTTTCATTATCATGGAAACGGCGCTATCGATTTGCATTAATATTAGTATTTTAATATTATTTTATATACCTACTACTTATGTATCTGAGTAGTAGATTATACTACTAGTATCCCAGATGGAGATAGTTATTGGCATTATCAAATGTCGATGTCATGGTGAACATAACACTTGACATGTCTTCATTTCGGGGTACATTTGAATCTAACGTGAAAGATGACGACCCTACCGCCACTATTCGAACTAATTTCTGATTTGATATCAGTTAGTCCGAGATTCATACATAATTTTTTTGGCATATTATTTATGTTTTTGTATAACATCATATATGTATGTACCCAAAATCTATTGCAAATAAATTTATTATTATAATTATTATTATTACTCCCGACTATCAAGCTATCACAAAACTGTCTAGTACTTAAATTGGTAGGTACTCAAAGCTTAGTATATTGCAACAATTTGCAGATTTTGCCAAGCAGAAGAGGAAACGCCACTACACATCCTATATGGTTGTAGCCCATGCATAAACGACATATCTCCTTTGGAAAGTATACAATATATCCTGAGGAGATAAAAACCATCGCTCCTAATATGCACACTACGTTATTAAGTACCTAGGATACATTTTACCTGCCAGAATACGGGAATAATTACAGAAGTATTTATAAATAATACTAATAATATAATGCAATTTAAGCAAAATACGAATTCATATCTAGTTAAATATTTTGTTAAAGTTAGGTACTAACCTGGATTTTTGGGCAAGCAAACAGGCCTCACAGCATGAGAGTAAGTAATCGGCTTATTCAGTTGTATTAAGGCGATGTCGTTCATAAGGGTTGTTAATGAGAAGTTGTGGCCAATCATCTTCACTACAAAGCGACTATCTGGTGGTGGAGTGCGGTCGCAGCGATTGTGTTCACCAAATGTTACTCGAAACATGAACCACATGAAGCTAAAATAATGTTAACATTTAGAAAAAAAGATAATAATTATAAGTAGGGTTACATTACACACCCCCGAAGATCATAACTGTCACAATAAGTTGTGAGTTCTACCCACAACTTTGTAAATTCCTCCTAATAGTATTAATAACTTCAATACGTTCCAGGTTTAATTGTTTAAATGATACCATTAGATTTTGTATTTTTGTTAAATACAACAATCAGACATCTAATACCGTATAATAATATATATGTATATAGTGGCCATCCCTATCAAATACATCACTGAGAAGTACAAAAAATTACTTATTCTCAGACCAACCGAGTATACATATAAAATTTCATAAAAATCAATTCAGTAGTTTAAGATTCCACTGCGAGAGGACACAGGTGACACGAAATTTGTATATATTAAGATTTATATATGTATAACAATAGATGATTAAACATGCTTATATATATAGGTACATATTTTCCTTAAAACATGCTAATGAAAAGAAGTAGTGACTCATTATAGGTATTCTTATACCGTCACCACACGGAAAAGTCTTTGCAAATAAACAACCGTAAGAATAAATTGATTCATTCTATTTACCCTTTCATGCAATGTGCGGCCGATATAACATATCGATCATTGATCAAGGAAGCTCCGCAACCGAAGGATTTGTGGTAAATGAGCCGCGCGAGCCATGGGAAAGCGTTCACAGGGGTACCAACGCCACCCACCACTCGCGGCTCTTCGTTGCGCTCCCCACAACCTGGAGCATAAGTATAAAGTTTGAAATGACAATGAAGATCCACCATCCACCATCACCCATGGAAATCACTCATTCTCTGTAACATTTTTTAAATTTCAATTCTTCTGGCATGAATTGAAGCAACTTTATAAGAAAATTATATAAGTTAGTTGTAAAAGTTTATAAGAAAGTTATATAGGTATAAAAATGCAACCAAAATAAATTTAATTAATATTTTTTATTGTTTCTGGGGATATTTCCGCATTAAATACCTATCGACGTATATCTGTATAAGTGTTCATATTATTGTGTGTGTGTCATATTATTCAATTCTAAATCGCTTATCGCACACAGAACTTCTACAAAATAAATTAAAGAAACAATACGGATGCAATAGATAGCGGTTTTGAATATTTTAAACACCTAAAAACAAAAGAAATAACAACAACAGTGAAATATTTATGCTTATGCAAATTATTCTCACCGCAATTTTGACAGTCGGGTATTTTTTTACTCGCAAAATAATCTACTTGTAACGGTGATCGAAATGAAGATTCAGCAACTTGTAGTCCATCCTGAAATATAATGGCACAATTGATCTCCAATAACTTAGCCGATATTGATAAAATCAATAAAAAAATATATTTTTAATAATCCAAAATAATTTACTTAAGTAAAGTTTATACATAGTAGTCTATGGAGGTATAACTATCTCGCCTATTACACCTTCCAACACGCTTTGTAAGCTGTGTGAATTACTATCTAATGGCTATGGTAGCAAAATACCTAGTCCTTTTGAATGGCAACGTTCGAAAGGTACCATGGGTATTAGACAAAAAATAATTGAAAAACTCTATTAGTTTTAAATAGTAGACAATATGTATTAGAATCGTAACTAAACTTTACTCAATATTCAGTATAGTGGAATGCGTCGTGAACTATATTTTATCATGAATCAATATAACCTAGCATTTAATGCACTAATTTACTATATAATTTAACAATTAGTAAGATGCTGTGTACTAACTATGCAGTAGAAAGTTGTCAACTGAGACCAATAAGCTTTACTTAAATAGACTATTTCTGCTAAGTATACTTCTAAGCACTGCTTACTCGCAAATATATTTGCAACATGTCACAGGTTATCCAAAGTATAAGATGTAATAACTTATCAACTACAGCTATACGAAATGTATAATACAAATGCGCTTACCTTATTAATTGTAAGTTCCACAGGCACAAATGCTAAAATAAATATTACAGAATAAATCCACATTATTCTAGATACTATTTGTTTTAATTAGACAAATTGTTAAGTAGATAAGATTACGTTCATATGCTCGAGGTTCAATGTTTTCGAAACACTAACACATGACTTGAATCTCAACGTACTTTATGGTTGTGTAGCCCATAAAATGTAGCAAAACGGGTACAGCAGTTCATGTAATATCTTACTTGTAATTCAAATTACCGCTAACAACAGAAAACGCAACCAAACATCGAACATTTCGAAATACAACTACAAAATGTGCTTATTTTACAATCAGAAAATAGCAGTCATTTATATTCATTATTTTTAAGATTGTAAGTGGATTTTACAGTTAGTCAGGAAAACGTCAATGTTGGTTAAAATATACGACAAAGGTAGATATATATATATATATATACGATTTTTTTAAACTTCAGATAAAAATACCTTCAAAGAGACGAATCAAAATATATATATTTAATCATTGTCATAATCTAATCAATTTTTGTTTAAAATAATACTTACTTGCTGCCGTATATATAGATATATTAAAAAACAAATGTAAGTTGTAATTTTATTTTAATATTTAATTATAATTAATTTCAAGTTTGTTATTATTACATCATTAATACGTTTAAAAGCGGCATTTTAACTGCCAATCAAAATATATATATTATATTCTGTCTAAACAGGTCATGATGTCATAATCTTTCATCTGCATTACTACTGAATTGCAAATAACAGAGTAAGAAGATTTTGTGATTGTAAATATAATTATACGTAATAAAATGGTACGTACAATTAAATTCTTCTTTGATTAAGGGGGTCTTCCTATGTGACGGCCTGTTTTTTAGGGATATTTTAGGATTTTTTTTCTACGACCAGTAAATATTTAGAGCTTCAATCATTTATTAACACATATTTGGACAGTATAAATATAAAATTTCAGCTACAAATATTCAGTCAAACTAGAGTTACCGCGCTCTGAACACCCCCGCCTCGAAAAAAATAGCTTTCCTCCACGATTCCGGCTGATCGGCTTATCTGAAAAAAAAAAAAAAAAACGGCGTTTTAATTTGTAGGCTTAAAAGCACGGAATGACCTATAATCAAATGAATATAAAAAATTAGACATTTGAAATAAAAGTTGCAAATTAGGCGTTTTTTTTTTGTTTTTTGCTATAAAAAAATCGAAGTTTTGAAAATTTTCGATTGATAATAGTTCATTCCATGCGTTTACATATATTGAGTGTGCCCTGTAAATTTCAAGTAATTCGGTCTAGCCGTTTCTGATCATGGAGGAAAGTAAAAACACAGTTTTGAGAAAAACGTTTAAAGTTTCAAGTCCGTTAAAAACTATTAAAATATCAACTTACCAATCGGCGATGCCTGGTCCATAGTATTCCTTCCTCTTCCTCGTGAAACTCTTTTAAAGCAGATTGTTCATCTTGAGTCAATGACATCACTTACGAGAGATAAGATTGCTTGGGCTTCACGACCAACAGGGCATCCCATAATCGATATATTCTTCATTAAAGATAATAACTGCTAAGTAGCAAATTTCAACAACTTTGGGACCAGAATGAAGATGTTTAGGAGCGAGTCAAATCAAAGAATTCAAAGATTTAAACAACGAATTAATAATTCGTCTTTCGATAAATCTTCGAAAACCGGTTTGATAGCACAATTAGGTCGTGATGAAATTGGTCCAATTATTAGTATAATAGAAACAAAATTGATGCTGAGGGTTTTCATCAGCATTTGTGATAGTACGTTGCCCAAACTTCCTTTCTCATATCTTCAAGCGAATTGCAAATAATCAGAGTAATCAGATTTTGTGATTGTAAATATAATATATTAATAAAAGGGAGGCGTACAATTAAATTCTTTTCTTTTTGATTAAAACGACTATTAATATTCTAGACATGTTAAGGGAGCAATTTATGAAAAAAAAAAAAAATCGATTTTTTCAACCCATCACATAGGAAGACCCCCTTAAAATATTAATAAGAATGCAATGCCATATATGATATGATTATAATAATTAATTAATTAAATAAATCATATCATAAATGGCAGCCAAATATATATTGGAAATGAAACGCTTCTATTGTTGGGAAATACCTATTCATATAGAAATGGGAATTTAGTAACTTACATAAATTTCATAACAAGAAAAATATTCACAGTGACAATTGCATTTGCTTTATATTTAGTCTTCCTAAATTATACCTAGGCATAAAGACCTTTATCTGTCTGTTTAGTTATCACATCATAAGTACTTTGGTACTACTCATAAATATTTTACATGAGAAAGAGGGAAGTGGTTTAAAAACCCAATTTAGTAAATACGACGCAGTATTACAAGTATATAGTTCATAAATCATAACACTTATCAACCATTTTGAGATTTTCTATCAAGATTTACTATAAAAAAAAAACAACTATAAACATAGGTATGTGACATTCAGAACGTAAATAGAAGGAAATCTTCTGAAAGCGAAACAAGTTATATACATTGTAAAAGATTATAATTAATTAATGAATGAATAGTGAATGAATGAATAATGAATGAAATGAATTTAGCACGCTGAATAATAAACAAAATTAACTATGAAATGGTTTATTAAAGAAAAAAATAATAGTAGGTATTTTAATTTGAATAAAAATTAATAAAATTTAGAGGTACTTTATTTAGATTTCATCACGAATAGAAAAAAAATATACAAATATTTGCATTAACCTAAAATAATAATTAACTTATATAATAATTATGGCAGAACACATAAAAATATCTTCTAGTCCTGTAACTCATTTGACTAGCCCTTCAAACATAGAGTCGTGAGCATATTACTGTTTTCATGTACGTACGTACTGAACATAAATATTGATATTCAAAATATCTTACTAATATTACAAATGCGGAAGTTTGTGAGTGGGATGGGTGGATGTTTTTTACTGTTTCACGCGAAAACTATTGAATGGATTTTAATTGAGATTTACTACTATTTAATTGCTTATACGTCATAATAACACAATAGGTTATAAATTTCACGCAGATGAATTCGCGGGTACCTACAAATAATTATTATACTTACTTATCAACAAATTTTAATACACACAATAATAAAACACAATATTTGCTAATTAAGAAGATACCATGAAAACTATTCAACTATTACACTTGTCTTGATTTAATAAAATATTTTTGTACATTTTCGTTCGGATTTATAAAGTCTAAACCTAATTGCATAAATAACTAGCTGTTATATTGCATTAAGATCCATTCAGGCGTTTAATCGTGAAAAGCAACAAAACATACACACTTTAACATTTATAATAGTAGTAAGGATAAATAAGATAAAACGTGGTTGCTCTAATACCACTTTTTTATAATACATATGTGGTAGATAATATAAAAAATATTTATATCGCAAAAATATCAAATAGCCAACATTCTCTACAATTAATCGAAAATATTGTTGGAATTTCTTTGGTTAACTCCATATTATGTTTTCAAGTCGAATTATGGTTACTGTGGTAAATAAATATCATATTAATAACATTTTTGAAACGTAATTTTGTTAATTAAACTAAAAATTACAATACTTGCTTTACTGACTTCCGCAAATTTTCATAACATTAGACTTTAAATTTAGCAGGTATTTTACCCCTAATTTAGCACAATTAATTACTTATATTACATTTTTATCAGTATCTCATGCTCATCTATTGTAAATACATGACATTTTGTAAAATGTAACCTGTGCTTTGACCTTACTTTACAAAATTCATTGTTTATAAATATCGTAGGTTTAATACAACATTATATTAAGATAAGAATTATAAATTTTAGGAAAACCAATTTAAAAAAAAAATTATTATTGAGTTAATCCATTACATAACGTAATACGTTGCAAGCATGAACTGTGCTGTAAATGTACAAAAATCTTTTTCCATGTACATGACTGTATATTATGTGCTTATACTACAGTTATTGGAACATTTATAATATGCAAGTTAGTAAAAAATGTGATCTTCGCGAATTTTAATTCTAAACGTTGTCTATCTATCTTCTAATTCTTACGGGATAAGCAGAGAGATTGTATGATGTCAAAAGAAAACATTAATCTCACTATTATATTTATAGTATTAGAGGCGAATATATTTTAATTTATACTGTCTAAATGTATACATATAGAAACATGTTGATACGTCGCTGTAGACTTATTACGTATTTATATTATTATAAATGCTGGTAGAGAATAGTTATAAAATATTTACATACAGATGTACATTGAGTTTTTCACTACTTTCCACAATAGACCAGACTTTACATAGTATCAAACTATTGTTGTAAATATACGTATGTATTAATCTGTACAATAACATGCGTCTTTTGTATTTTCTCTAATCCAATCCAAATAATTGGTAACCCTTGTGTAAACACCCGGATAACCGACTCTTGCGCACCCATTACCCCAAGATACGACACCTGTAAACAATAAGTAGACGTTACATTCTAAATATAATAATTCTCATTATGATATAACGAATATTTATAGACGTAATTCAAAATCAAACCTTTATTAAAGAAATAAATTCAACTTCTACAGTAGGTAGTTAGCGACGGGAAACGACCCCAGTTAACAATTTCAGATCAGATTATTTATTATTTCTAACTTTTTAGGGTGTTATTTCATTACTTCTGTCTTAGCTATAAAATTTATTTATTTTTTACTGGTTATACCGGATTAGCCATACAAAATTTTGAACCATACTTATTATTAATAGTTAAATCAAAAACTTTTTACTCCTTTTTACGTAAATTCTGCGGACGGAGAAGTATGAAATTTTTCATAGTGCAGACATTTAATATTTTTTTTAATTATGCATAAAATAATATATTAAATCAATAAAAAATATTACACCCACTATGTATTTGACAAACATACGCATAGAAATTTTTGTTAGAAATAAATAGCGCCTTAACAATATTCAAACCTATAATTTAAAGTAATTATAGTCTAAATTCGATAGGTCGACCACTAGTAATAATTAATACGTAAACACATACATAATTCAATAAACCAATACAAATTACTTTAATTAGGTATTATTATTTAAAGTATGCACATAAGGCACTCTACAATTTCATGTGGGCTGCAACTAGGGCTGAAGCTCCAAACATGATAAAAATATAACAGTAATAATTTCTATCAAATAAAGGACGTATGCCGATAGCCAAAGAAAAATATTTCGTCAATATTTTCATCCTATCGGCCATCTTTTCTAAAAGTGAACAATATTTTTCTTGAATAAAATTCTTTAAAATATCTTGTTCCTTTTTTTCATTAGTTGGCATCCCTAACATTTAACTTACTTAACCAACAGGTATGCTTTAAAACAATAGCTACTTAACTTTAATAGCACCTATCCTAGAACATAGTTATTTGGGTTAACTCCGAAAACATTGTACCTAAGGCGTTTGCTAGCATTAGGAGCAAAACAGAATATGCGTCCACCTTCTTAATTACTTAGAACATTCGATATTTCCCATTCTAAATTCAATATATAGCTATTTCCCATATACAATAATACATTCAAGTTTATTTTCGTTAATGCCTCTATGATTCATACTGCGTATTATTTCTGTCGTAACCATTATTTGTAATTGTAAAAAATACTAATTTTTCACAGAACAATACTACTTTTGGATTGTTATTAAAAAAATATTTATTCAAAATTCAAAATGTTATATTTAAGGCATATTTAAATCTCACCCTATTTCAGTTAGTTATAAAGCGCTACTAAATTTGATGTAAAATATTTTATTAATGTACTATATCCATCATTTTTTATACAATTCTTTAACAGTAATATGATGATATAGTCTACACGTACGACACTTACATGCTTGCTCTTTCATTGCACTAAAATAAAAGATCGAAATAATAATAGCTTCTTTTTCTAAATTCCAAACTTTTATAAAGTAGTAGTAAGTATTTTTTATACTTTTGTGTGATTATTTTTTACCATACTATACCTAAATATGTTTATTTTTGGTACAACTAAATTAGTTGCTAGTGAAAGGTACAACTTGCGCAAGGATAAAGAGCAAGACACTCGAAACATGTGTAATGTACCTATCCATCAATATTCATTACCTACCTATTAGTTCGTAGCGTTTGTCGTACTTTCTCTCAGTTATAAGTGGACCGCCGCTGTCACCCTGAAAAAAAAATGTTAGAAAGTGATCGAATAAAAAGTTAATTTGAATTTATTTGATTTTTTTTTCCTTTTTACATACAGCATTCTTATTACGTTGAAATGGATTTTAAAAAATTGGCCAAGCAGGTTTCTTATATCTATTAAAGCATCTGGTATATTTTTTATAAGATGTTATCTTTTATTATGAATGACAAATATATGTAATATTTTTTTTTTTTTTGGCGAGCATGGAAAATCTTAAAATATACAGACATTTATGAAGCCGACGCGATGTATCAAAATACACAGCACTATGTAAATCTCATACTATTTTATTGTAACAAAACGTTACTAAAGTTACTGCTACTGCTGCTTATGTAATTAAGGAAATTAGTTTTTTTTCTTAATTGGTTAAATTCTTGCAATTTATTAATCTTACCTGACACGAGTCCTTCTGTCCAGTTTTTGGATATCCAGCACAAAGCATATTGTCGCTGATCATCGAAGCAGTATACTTGGTATTCTTGCACTCTGCATTGCTGATGACGGGCACCTCGACTTCTTGAAGCGTGCAGGACACCTTCCCTTCTTCGGTGAGAGTCCCCCACCCAGCAGCGACCGCTTTCACACCAACGTACAGGTTGTCTGTCAATCGTAAATATTTTAAACACCTTTAGTGCCGCAGGCAATTTCGAGATTTCCCTTAACTTAAATGTTAAATATAAAAGCATAAATTTAGTGAATTGTAATGGGCATTGTGAAAATTATTATTATAAACGCAATAGTTGGTAAGGATGCATGAAAAAGTGATATAGAAATTTTTACCTAAATTATACAGATTGTATCGGCTCTATAGTTTAACAAATTATAATAACAAATTTATCTCTCTGAACTTACTAACTATACAGTAACACTCGTAACAAAATTAAGACTGTATAAGCGACATTTCATTTGTTCTATTAAGCAGATAGTTTTTATGTCACAATGAAAAACTATAAATTTTAATATTCTTCTGTGTAACTGGGTGTACCATCCACCCGATAATATGTGTTCTGTGACCTGGAATTTCACTGCCATTTCTCACCCTTCAATCAAAAACTAGCTTACCCACAGAGACACATATGATGACGATTGTGTGACAAAATCTACCCCTGGTGTTCTAATCGATATCATTAATACTTACTATCATTGGATGGAAGACATATCGGTTTGATGGCATCAGATACAGGCACTCTTTCATTCAGTCGCAGCAATGCAATGTCGTTGTCGAAATTTGCCAAACTGAATTTGTTGGCGATTGCGCGTAGAACAAATCTAGTCTCTGGTCGGGTTGTTGCATTACACCGGTTATGCTCTCCAAATGTCACCTTTATCATGAACCACATAAAACTGGAAATAAAATATATTAAATGTTAATAAGTGCATTTGTATATGTATTACCACCTATTTCTATTAAGTACAATTCTGCTACATTTGTCATAATATATTTAACTCTTTCCATATATTTTTTGTTACCCTAAAAAAGCAGCCCATATCAAATAACAGAAGCAAAACACTAGCAAAATGTGTGAATTTGGTTAGTAGCTAAATAGTGGACATATTTATGAGTAATATTTGATTTCTAACAATAAATTATTATGCAAATGCATCAACTATATAGAACTTAGTAAAAAAGTGTTACTTAAAAATGTAGATCTTTTTTGTAAAATATCTTGACGATGAAAGGATGAAAGATTAATAGCATTTTAGACTTAATTCAACTATTTCCTATACACCGGTTTAGTTAGAAAATAATAAATATGAATTAATTAGTAATAAATCTATAAATAAGCTCATTAAAATGTTGATTAGAACTGAATGGAATTAATATACTTCTTAAAACATCAACAGCACTATGCAAGTTGGTTTGGAAGTGAAAAATATTTTCTACAGAAATCGACGTAGTTGAGTAAAAAAACTAAACTAAACAGTCCAAAGGCGTCAATTGATATTTATGGATTGTTGAGGATAATGAACTTTAAGTTTGGAGCCTGCTTTTGGGCCGGTTTGAAGGTGAACGTACTTGTTCATACTACTTGGAATTCAGAAATTCTGACAAAGAATATATTTTGCACTCATATGGCATTCTTGGGTGATCAAATCCCTGTCTGTCGAGGGGTACCAGTTTCTTAGTAATGGAAAAATGTACCCGGTCAGGTTGACCGCCACGCAGTTCTCCCTATAAATTATTCTGCTAGATCAAAAACATCATCGTCATTATTTCATCCGCGCCAGCCTGTATGCAATAACTACAAACATGTTCACAATTTCATCATCGTCCCTAAAAAATCTACTGTTAAGTCTATAGTGAACTTGAATATTTAGATCTGTACGCGTCGACTTGCATTAAATTTAAATTAAACCTACCCTCATTAGTTTATGTAATAATATTGTTAGTGTATCCAGATACAATAAAAATATTATAAATAAACAATATTTAATAGCCTTAAAATTAAAATATACTGTTTTATATAAAATAGTTGAGAATTATTGCGATACAATACAGCCACAGAGCAACTTCCTTTCCGATTTCAATTCGTAGGGTCTGATATGGCAGTATAAGTAGGGTCTAGAGTTCCTCAGGATTGTAATTCCTGAGGACACATTAGTCCTCAGGAATAATAATAAAATATAGTCTGTGTTAACCCCACCACAAAATTTGCCTATTGACGTGATGGGCGATATAGAGATGTCAAATTGATTATACACTGGAGTTAGATATATAATCTGCTGTGTTTGTTTGGTACAAACCACCCAACCAAATTTTAATACCTACATAATGCAACTGAGCAGTAGTAATGTTCACGTATATTTCGGTGAAAACCCTGTTATAAATACACATATACAGAATGTAGCTCGCAAATAATTCTAATGAAATAATTAACGCATCATTCCATTAACCTACTTTAAAGGTTGTTTAATTATAATTTAATTACAAATATTAGTTATATTGTGAAATATACCTAACAATATAGGGTTAATGTATGAGTATCTATTAACCCTATTATACAATAGTTAGGTAAACGAGTATAATAATAGGAAAAAAACTGTGTGACTTTAATAAATGAGTCAAAAGTTTCCAAAACGACAGTGTTTAAGAAATTTTAGGATGTTTTATATAACGTATACATGAAACGATATTTGTATACCTATTTCTTGACACTCAACAATAAAGTAATTGATAATTTTATTTATAAATTTTATAGACACATATTTATATGTATAATTAGTTTAAATATAAGAAATTAATTAATAAAATATATATTTGATAGTTACGTTATTATATTAGGTTAAGACCTGTAAAATAGTTGTAAGCATGGAAGTAAATAAATATTGTTGCACTACAACAATTCTTTCTATATTTGTGTGTGATCAATTTTGTAAGAGGTATACAAGCATCTGTAGTTAACTGGTAACATTATAGAATAACATAAATATTGAGTATTAAATAGAATAGGATAGAATAGAAATTTATAGATTATTAATTTCAAAATTAAATAAAATTATTATCAATTTACATAATAATTTTATGATATAAAACAATTTATTTATAACCTATGTAAAATTATCGTAAAGTTGTAATATATTAATTGAAAACCTGGCTACATATTAAAATATTTAATGTTACTTTTAAATACTATATTCGAATAAGACCACACTAAGCAAGGACAATTTGTTATAAGAGTCAATATCCTATTAAGAACTTCAAACACTTGGACAACACCTTCACGCGTCTATGCTGACCAAAACGACGTGAAATTTAAATATATTGAAGCCAACATTACGTTATGAATAATTCAAAATCCCTCGAACACATGTTCAAAAACGAACTTACATTTCTGTAACTGTATTTAGGTACTAACATAAGAAAGTGTTCAAATATTGTTATGTGGGTTTGTAAAACATTTAATGATTTAATGAAGTAAGTATATATAATGGCGGATTTATCTTTTAGTTCTATCATTGACGGCTCAACCTAAATGATAGTAAAAGGGTCTTTGAATTATAATATATAATATAATAATATAATATATTTTATTGACACCAATTTAAGTAGTTACAAATTATGATACAATAGTATCATTTATTTCCTCTGAAATTGCAATCTTACCAATATTGTCTCTTCCTGAGATTAGGGTCGAGACAAAATTGTGTAGATTTTATTGAGTATGTTGATAGACCAACAAACTTTTAAAACTCGATCGAAGTTGGGCTGTTAGTTTTAATTAATATTACAAATGCGAAATAAAGTTAGTTTGTTTTGTAATTAAAGGCATGTGTAGCAATTAGGTTGAAAAAGACATAGGCCTAACAAACATGGCCACTAGGAAGATGTCACGGGTAGAAGGTAATTACAAAGTCGCTGTCGCCGTCTGTCCGTCCCTATGTATGCTTAAATCTTTAAAACTACGCAACGGATTTTGAAGTGGTATTTTTTTTAATATATACAGTGATTCAAGAGGAAGATTTATATATATACGTGTACATCCATGCGTAGCCAGTTAGAGTAGCTAATTATATTATAAAATAGACACAAATACACACCCCTTGACGCAATGCGCTGCTGTGAGTACATATCGGTCATTGATGAGCATACCGCCGCAATAGAACCTCTTGAAGTATGTCAATCGGGCTATCCATGGGAATTCATTCGTTCCGGCCTCTTCACCACCAACTATGCGGGACACCTCGTTTCTTTCACCGCATTCTGGAATATTTTATTACCATTAAATATTTAAAAAAAAAACTATAGACGTAAACTTAGACTTAGAAATCCTTTTTTATCATATAACTGGGAAACAATACTATATCCCACAGTGGTAACATGAGACAGTCATTAATATGTGAAAGGATTGTAGGAGTGTATTTTCTTTCACGTCATAGTATGTTGTTAATTGTACCTAATGTATTTTTCTTCAGGACTGAATAGGTGACAAAGAGTCTACCTCGGTAAAACCTTCGTGCTTTCTTCTGTCACTGTCTTAAGCAGTGGACAGAAGTGCATGAAAATTACATAAAGACGTAATACAAACTGCAGGTGCATGTTGTCTTCGGCAGGTTGGATTCCATAAGCGGGGGCCGGTTGCCCCACACGCCTCCAAAGAAATTTTTCGTAAACACGCCTCGAGCATCGCGAACTACATCAGCCTGTATAATAAAAGAAATCTAAGTGAAATATCTATCACAATAATGTATATGACATAGATCCTATAGTCAAATACGTACCTACATCACAAAATTATTAGTGCGTATTAGAGGAGTGACATTTTTATGAAGCTTATGCTTACATTATTACAATAATATACAAGGTAATAAAACATGGGAAATGTATGTAGAATCTACTGTACGAATTATTCCAATTACATAGATTACCAGTAACTTGTCATAATGTTTTACCAAGGTAGAGTTTTAACAAAGTTGTCTTCAGTACGTTTTTCTGTTATATTTTCACAATGTTGAAAAACCTTGCTTTGTAAGCTATGTTCAGTTTGAAGATATATATGGTATATTACAAGATATGGTTATATTACAGAATACAAATCCATGATATCAGCCTGTGAGCTAGCAAATTGTTTGCCATTCCAGTTACATTTATATATTTATCTATTTTACATCGATCTTAAAATTATTTCGCATTCAAAATGTTTTTAAGATTGTCCGTTATATCATTGTGTTATGTTAGCCTTAATTAATTACTTTGTTGCTACTATTTCCACAAGTACTCCTTTGTAACTAGACGACAGGATAAAAATACTGACTTTTTATAATAACAAGATGCGATTTTAATAATATTCATTACAGCTATTATGTGCAGAAATAAAATTCTTACTTTCTTACTAATAATTTAAATAAATATGAAAGTTTGTATAAATATTGGAAGTTTAAAGTTTATATTAGAGATTATGACTAAATTTGCTCCCTTAAACATTCAATAACAAACAAAACAAAACCTACCCTTTGATCAATTACCAAAAATTACCGTTTATTAACAATTACATGACAATAGTAATACAACCTATTCCGAATAAATCAAAGTGATACTGTAGAACCAGCCTGGGAATAAGCGCTTTCGGTTACAGTGAGAATCTGCAAAGGAATCGCGTAATATGATAAAAAGAATACTTCCTCTGTTTGGCCGGCGGTTAAAACACCAGAAAAGCAGAATTGTGAAACAAGTTATATTACATTATTAGATATTAAATGAAATATAAGAAGTTCTCAGTCAGGTTTCTTTTTAAATATTGAATCTTCCTTTGGTGTAATCAGTATCATAAACCACTACATCATACTTTCGTATTAATTTTTTTCGATTCAAATTCGATTATTAGCTGATAACCTACGTGGTAACTCTATATTACATCTCTATCTCTCGTGTGTTAGGTATTGGTACATTTTCTTCTCTTGTCATTCCAACCCTTAATAGTGAAACGGTATGATTACTTATTTTATACCAGTTAATTTGTAAAATATCTACGTTCGAGCATTCAACTTAATCAACACTATTTCTCTTCCAAACAACTAAAAATAACTTTTTAAGTTATTTCACATAGTTAAATAACCTGTAGAGTCAATAATTAAAATTATACACTTAATACTGTGAATAATATCAAGATATCTATTATATATGTACACAAGTGTGTTTATATATAGCTACATAATTATAGATAACTTATAAAAAAGTAATTTTTACAGTTTTAATATTTTAATAAAATGTAGAGACTAGAATAGAAACAAAATTTTGCACAAATACATGGGTATCAGGACTGAGAGGACACTCTTAGTATAATTTTAATTAATCTGTTATTCAGATTACAGCATAAAATTACATATACTTATTAAAGGAAAGTAAAAGAGTTTGACACCAACCTGAGAGCAAGTGAAAGTCAGTATTGTAAACAGTAAAACATAAAAACACCTCCACATATTGTCTATGGGTTCAAAAATATTTAAAAATATATATGTGAAAATAGAATTATTCGAATTTAGAATTCCGCACACCGCTAACGCATCATATACCGTTGTTAAACTTGTCGCACGCTATCACCAACGGACACAAACTGAGATGCGTTTGGTCGTGACCGCAGTCCCGCCATCGTCGGACGTGATTTGGATACGTCAATATACCTAAACTCCACTAACTAGTCCATTAGCCTTACTATTTTTTATCATAATTTAGGCTTAAGTAGGTAGATTTAAGCGGTTGCCTCCTTAAACCGATTTCTGACGTAAATTAATGGGTTTGTAGAGGTCAGAACACTCATAACAGGTTCATGTTCACATCTTTGAGTCTTTATTTAAAAATAATAAAAAGGTTTAAAGGCTTATCTGGACAATCTTAGATAGACATAAGAATACCTAAGTGATTAGTAATTACAGAACGATATTCCTCCTATTTGTAAATATCTATATATATGTACCTGTGATATTAAACAATTCCCGATTTCTTAAAACAAAGTCATTATTCATAGTTTATAGAGTCCCTTTTTGCATTTGAAGGCCGGTTACCTGATTATCCGCTACGCCAATTGAAAAGTAAAAGGTTATTTTGCGGTCTAACAAGTTACTATACATCTATGTAATAGGATATTTTCGTATGCAACGTAAATGAGTAAGCTCTATTAACATAATCCGTCTTTCTCATTTATTTCAGTAGATTTCAGCATTTTAGTTTTTAGTTGATTCTTATATTACGTAGTACCTATTAAAATTATTTCTGTTTAATTTAACTTGTTACCTTAGTGAATGTTATTTCTGAGAATCTCGCCTGCGCTAATAGTGTAAGCTAACAGGGTACCAGTGAAAGAAGAAAGGAAGAAGATTCTCCCTACTTAAACATACTGAGTTTATTATGGGTACGTGTCTTATTCATTCGTTTCATTCTCTAAATACACTATTGTTTTTCTATAATACAGGCTTTGAGGTAGGACAAAGGTAAGAAAACTTGAAATTGTATCAAACTTGTTAAAACTAAATCAAAAGTAGTAACATCTCTTTTGTAAAGATTTTATTCTTATTTCTAAATATTACATTTTGAATTTCGAATACTCTATTGAACATATTGTAATGAAAAGAGTCAGTATTATGTTCCTGAATTTACATAAGTATTTTATTTTCTATTAACAATGTAATTGTATTTAGAAAGTGTCATAATCAATTACACTTGTAAGCCTGCGTTTCTACCGCGTACCTTCTTATATTTTTCTGATCTATCTCACAAAAACTGCCAAGATTAAATCGAATATTTATTTTTTAGATATCATAGATGAAATAATATTTCAATATTAATTTAACGTGACCCACTCTTTACCCTAATTGCTGTAAAAATAAGCTGTGATATCGATATACTTTTTTTGTATGAATTCTACAAGAGTTATCATGAATATCAATAAATATTTTCATTCCATTGAATTCAAGACAAAAATATGTACCCACTCTCGCTCTCTCCTATTAAATTTGAAGAAAATATGTCTGTGTAACACCATGGGTAGAAGGGTGAATGGGATTGTTAGTAATGTGAACTGTTGACCCCATTACTGGCAATGTATCATATAGGTACGTGATGGTCATTCTGACGATTGACCTTCACGCGGTTCCCACTGGAAACCGTCATGGTAAATTCTTGGTGATTTGTCACGATACCCTTACTGACATCATGTTCATCTTATCATCATCCACTGGTACCTCACCAGCGTAAACCGTTAACGCAGAGGGAGGCACCTTTCCAATACTATCCATTAAAAAAATACGTATAAAGCAGCAAGTTTACATAAAAAATGGTACATACAACACGAAGAGTCCATGACAAAAACTTGGTCTGATGTTGTTACACTGCTCTTAACATCTGGACAGCATCAGAAACCCTTGTAGAGCACGAACCTGATAGTGAACAAAAATATACTAGATGCGAGGATTACCAATTTAGAAATTATAATAAGAAGTTTAATTAATTTTATTTCTGTTTCATAAAGCAGTGTAGCAGCGACCTGATTGTTTCTTTTGCCAGTTCATATTGGGATTTTTCATATAAATATTATAATTAACATAGTCTCATAAAAAGCTACAAAAATGTTAAGAAACTTAAATGAAACCTGTCTGGAAATTACCGTGTGAAACAGTGCTTAAGTGAGCTGTGTAATAAAGGAGTCAAGATGGCAGTACCTACTCACGTCCTTTTGGTGCCACCGGTTGTTCGGTGGCCAGCGAAAGTGACGCTTTCCAACGGTCACAATGGTACACCGTCTTTTTGTCCAATCAAAGTAGCTACCTACGTATTACTTTTAGATGTGTTAATTTGTAATCAATATATTGAACAAGAGTACAAATTAATATTCAATTGTTATTCAACTTGTTACCTTCCAATGTCAAGTTTTATACAATACTAACTGTGCCCCCAGTTTCACGCGCGTTAAATTTCAATAAAAAATATAACCTATGTGTTATTCCAATGCATAAGCTATATTACTGTAAAGTTTCACCAAAAGCCGTTCAGTAGTTCTTGCATGAAAGAGTAACAAACATCCATACTTACAAACTTTCGCGTTTGTTATATTATTAAGACTAGCTGAACGAGAAATACGTGCCGATTCAGTATTAAAAAATATGTCAAAGGATTTTTGTAAACGAATATTTTGTATGGGAAAACAAAATTGTTATTTTTACTATTTTCCATTGAATTTCTTCATATTTTCTCATTACTTAAAACTTCCTTAAACGTCTTTTTATTTTTATATATAAGATATAATGGAAATATTTTCTATGATAATATTATTTAATATTTCGACACTGCTACAGATATTCTGGTCATGGGTCTACTATAGATAGTGATGGATGTAAACGATCATTACTAGCAGACAATGCTGTCTACCCGCTTTCTTCGTCTTTTTCGTAAACCGTAGCCACTGCTATTGGAAAATACTTGACAATCACTGTATCACTTCGACTGTGTGAAGTATAGATATCTAGCTTTACACTTATTTTTAAGTATGCACTGGATTTCATCTGCTGAACAACTTGAAACCATTTTCCTATGGAAACTTTGAAATTTACATAGACTTCAACGGCTTCTAGGAAGATAACGGGGTTCCGTGTATAATATTAGCTCCCTTAAAGTGTGTCTTCCGATCTGGGATCATTCGGAGACTGCGCTCTTTTACTAATCAACATATGCACATTTTATTTTTTTATTCTATTTTAAGTATATTCTCATTACTAACACTATATTAATTTATTAATGACAATTTTTTTCAGTTTTCAATATTATGGACATAGACATATCGCCCAGACATATGGGTGATATGTCTATGTATATCCATAATATTCAAATATACTAGTAAGTCGTCAGCATCATGAATTAATAAAAAAGGAAGAAGCATACATATACAAATAAAGTGCCTATTTATTATACTTTATTTAGTTATGTATGCTTCTTCCTTTTAAATAAATGGGGTTTACTTTCATGTAGGTCCCAGGTTATTTTCATTTTAAAAGAGGACTATAAATTAAATAGTATTAAAAATACAAATCAGTTAATCAAAGTTAAATATTTTATTTTAGTAAGAAAATTAATAAATTAGAGCACCAAAAAATCATCGTAACAATAAAATATAAAAGCAAATCTTAAAATGTAATCCTAAATAGGTAGATGAATTAGAAACGCAATAAAATGTCATAACGATAAATTACAAATAACGTATACAAATAATAAAGCAATAAATTTCCGCCAAATAGCGTAATATTTTATCGTGATAGCGATCACAGATGTAGCCTAAAGAGCGTTGATTTGTTCCTAAAACTACAATAAATTAGTTCCTATTACTATGTTAACAAATAACTAAATTATATATTCATTCGTTGTGATATTAATACAAATATATTATATTATTTGATTTCATAATCTGTTTTTAAATTGTTTAAGTGTTATTATTATTATTGATTAAACGACAAAAGAAAACTATGTATTGTGTATATTATTGCGAAAACTATGTAATATTATCATAACTGTAATTAAAACCATAATTATATCTAAAAACCAGAAAATAGGGGATTATAGTAGAAGAGGCTAACGAGAGAGCAACAAGATGCGAATAAATTGAAACGGCATTGCTCGATATAACAAATATAATGTTTCCTACGATAATACTTAGAACCTGACCAAAAAAACCATAACTAGGAGAGACCTTTACATATAAACAAAATTTGATGCACTTGAACTAAATATTTTGTAGTATCTAAATATAAGCACTGGACAGAACAAGTGAATTAACGTAGAGCAAGTAAATCGTTGTACATTGTACATTACCATCTGTGTCAGAGTTTTAATTAGTTTCCCAACAGCATATTGCAGTTATTAGATAAAACATATAATTTCTAAGAATTTTGTTAATTAAATTAGTATAAAACTTAAGCTAACGTTTTATATACAAATAATTCGTATTGAACACTTAGGTAGTTGATAACAAATACTTAAAAAACTAATGGTAATCTGCACCACCGGCCTGACCGAAGTAACGTATTAACTTACTCGTGTAACTAATCAAAATCTTAAAGCAATATGTACGAGATTAATATAAACGACTATAACAAGCTACGCCAATTATATGAGTACTTAATACAGTACATATTTAACTTGGCCACATAATTAATATGGGGAATATTTTTTAGCATACAGTAAAGTCATTGTAGATATTGAAGAAGTTAAGTTTAAAATTCATTCAAAGAAAGACTGTAGATACAATTAAATTACTAATATTAAATAGAATCCCGCACGTATCACTTCAAGGTAACTTAAAAGTAAAGTAAATATGATATCATTAATGAGATGATTGGATGATGTGTATTATTTACGTAATGAAATTTAATAAAGATGTAAAATCATTTAACATACTTATTAATACTTTACTTAATAACAAAAACAATTAACAAATATAAAATCATATTTTAGTTTAAAGCAAAGTGTATTTGACATACACGTTATAACATAGCAAATCATTATTTCACTTATTATTCAGCGTTTTTATAATTCTATTTGTTTTTATTAGAAGACGTTAATGTGTAGAAGAATTGAATTATAGAACGCAGTAACATTATTTTGAACATTAACATATGACATTTTACTTTGAAGCCTAATCGTTTTTTAATATCCAGTCTATATATTCGATAGACATCAAACTATGTTAATATTTGTGTGGAGTTATCCGGACATTTTCCATATTTAACCTCGTGTGGACACAATTATGCATGAAATTTATGCAACCAACCAAAAAATTATGGGTTGATTGTTATCAAGATAAATTATAAATGAGGTTCATTAGTAATGAGAACTAGTGATCCCATTACCAAAGTCTATTCTCATCCAAGGAGCTGCTGCCCCGCCATCGTACGACGACGGGTTTACTATTATAACATCGTACGAAATAAAACTAATATCTGACTAATAGAATCAACAAACGTAAAATAATCATAATAGATACAGAATACACTTTATGATGCTAATATATTATCTACTGCACCTACACAAGGTTTATAAGTCATGTGGTACTTTATGACACATTTTGACTTGGCACCATTGAGATTCCGCGTCTAGTATATTTTTACATTTACAAACTAAAATACAAAATAAAAACTTTGTTACAAATTATTAAACTTAGATGTTAATCTACTAATATTTATATTTTCAACAATTAGTTAAGTTACTAATAATCTTTAATGTATTATATGCTTATTAGGTTATTTCTATTTCTCATAAACCCTTGCCTTGCATCTCAGATGATTGGATATTATTATTAATACAATTTTCGTTTAGTTTGTCGATGATTTACATTATTTAGAATAGGTATTTACACATTCATAAATAGTTGTATCATATGTAGGCACTTAGTTTCCGCACAGACAGCTGTTGTTAAGATTAGCTTTAATCCACTTTAAGTAACGAGGCACCCGTGTGTATACCCCTGGATACCCTGGCCGACCGCATCCAACGCCCCAAGAGACAATACCTGAAAAAAAGAGACGGAAAATAAATCACTACGTCCTTAAATATATCACACAAATAAAGTAATAGAAGTTTGAATAGGTTATCTACTGTACATGCCTATCTTATAGTAGGTAAATAGAAAAATATCTCAGGACCATTCACACAGCGCCATCTACCGTGGGACTAGTTAACGCTTAGGCAGGTCTTATTGGCACTAGACAACCCATATAAAATTCTCAAAACACACATTTGATTTGTTTGATTTGTTTGTAACATCAGTACTTAATATTCATCTATCACGCTTTATGATGTATCGATATTAATGACATTTCGTCGATGACACCGATATAAATACACAGATACATTTTTTGTAGATACATAGATACCTATATAATATAGACAGAAAACATCCAGACCGATACAAGCAATTATATGCTTGAATGTTTGTACCGTACGAGGAATCAAGTTTGCGAATATCGGAAGTAAGACGGTGTGCTAAACCCGAGTAACACTAAGGACATCAAATTAGTGTGGTTTAGTTATTAGGTATAGTTATATACTTCACATTTTTAGAAGACGGCCTTCTAATTTGTGTTAAACAAAGTCATAGATACTAACCTACGATCTGGAACTTGCCCCCATTTTGAATGAGCAACGGGCCGCCACTATCACCTTGGCATGAATCAGTCCCCGCACGCCCGGCACACAACTGCAAATAACACAAGGAATATACTTTTAAGTTTATATTATTAAACCTACAATGAGAATAATTGACAGTTTTATTTTATATTAGCTGTTTCAGCCGCATGAAATTTATAGCCAATGCTTTATTCTAATGTATAAGCTACATACATTAGGTACTGTAAAGTATATATATTAGGTATTCATGAAAATCCATTCAGTAATTTTTCAATAGTATGAAAAAGTAACAAACACCCATTCATCCATATTCACAAAGTTTCGCGTTTATACCTACTATTACTAAAATGTTTGTTATAAATTCGAACTCGAAATAGACTCGAATTATTTTTATGTTTCATCTGTTACAGCACTTTCTTTCTTTTTTGTTTTATTCTATTATTTTGTCAAATATTTTACTAGAATTATATAAGAGTTTTGGATTAAAAATAGTAGTAATACCTATTTCTAACATTTATACCATTATTAGAAATAATTGACAACGACTTAATTATTGATTTTCTATTAATATTCTTAAGTAAACTATTCTAATTAACTTAAAATTATTAGGTTAATGCAGGTCGATCGTGCTTATTATACACAACACCAACTTTGGCGTATGACCATGGAATAGGTATGTTTTTATACGAAATAAGTGGCCTTACAATTACCAGACTTCTATATATAGCCTAGTTTTAATTAATATTAAGTCAACATTCGAAACAACTCTTATAGTATACCTATTGATCTGACCACCATATACAGATATAGTAGGTACCTATACTGCTTCATAATGAGTGCCAAAATATATTATATTGATATGGGAGCAAATATATTTTTAATATTTGTGTAATTTTTTATTTATTCTTCAGCCTGTAGTTAGAGTTGTTATTTTCTACTTCCTTCTCTTATTTTTTCCGCTCACTTTATCTCTCTCTCTCTCTCTCTCTGTCGCAATACTCTCCTTTCCTTCACATTGCTTTTTTCCTTTTATTTCACTTTTTCGAATCTTACTTTGTATGTTTATACTTTGACGGGACTTTCGCTCTTAAACAGCTATGGTTTTAAAGAGTAACTATGGCTACTTATATTTTCTTACTTTTAATGAAATAAAAATAGTTAAATTCCATGCGAACAATTCGCGTATAACAGTTAGTATTTATTAAAATTGCAATATATATAACGTCATACTATGCAGGGGGGAGTCTCACAAATGTGACCAGCTGTGATAAGGATAGTGGGTAGGGTAGGGGTAGTGGTAAAAAAATCATGAAAATAGTGACGTAATTTGTAGATGTAGTTTTGTTTGTAGAACCCAGAGACAGAAAATGCCTACTCACCATGTTACTAGTAATCCTGGCAGCTCTATACTTCGTTTTTCGACATTGCGTTAAGTTCAGTATCGGCACTCTTACTTCTTGCACGATGCCTGGTAACTGTCCTCCTTCAGAAGTACGTCCCCACCCCACCGCAACGCCATCCTTCCCCGCGGGATCGATGCCTGCAATTCAAAAAGTTGTTACAGCTTGGCCCAATAATTTACCTTATCTGTACTATACGCTGATACTATTATAGAATGGGAGCCATTGTCGCTAGCATGTACCACGTTAGGTTCTCGGTCTAATGTAATAACTTCTCATGAATTCACTGCGGCGATTAGCCCTATATATTTGCCTTAACCGACCTGACTTTATACTTATCCTATCATCCTCCACTGTTGTATGGTATATTACTCGATACCAAAACAAATTTCGTCTACTTAAATAAATATAAGTTGTACAGAACTTATTAGTGTTCAGTGTTTTTCAGGCGTAGATATCTAAAGGAGATTATTTGATGCGACATGTTCAAATCAGCTTGATGGATTATAGACCAATGAAAATGAAGACATTAGATGTATCTTTACATTAAAATTTTGTTAACAATGTACACGAACTTAAATGGCGCCTACAAACTTCTTATCGACGTTCAAATGAAAGTAAACAATTTGCTAACAATAATAATGAAGGAGTCGTGAACTGTTTTAGGAACTAGTTAGCTTTGACTACTATGACATATGACAGTAACTATTTATTTAAAATATTGCTCCTGTGTAATGGAGCAACAGATAAGTTTGCTCATTCTTTTGCCTGACGGCTGACTCTGAAATGCTTATATTAATTTTATACTCACCTGCTGATGGTAAACAGACTGGGTTAATTATCCTCGAGAAGTTGACCGGCTTCCGTAGCCTGAGCAGAGCGATATCATTGTTGTAGGTATCTGCATCAAAACCACGGTGCCTGACCACTTGCACCACGGCCCGCATGATGGCCGGACTCTCTGAGGTTATAGTTTGGTCGTGGTCGCCGAGGATCACTCGAATTTTAGATTTTTTCAATCTGAAATGAATATATAAATTTCTATTTACTTTGATCTCTTAACAACCTGATTATACTTATTAAATAGATATTTAAGAGAAAATAGAAACTAATCAAGAAATTATTTTTTAACAGTTTAGGTGGCCATTAGTTGATTAACAAAATATTATATATTTTTTCCCTAATCGGATGGATTTACTTCTATTCTGTTAGTACATATAAAGTCAAAATTTAAGACGATTTGCAAAAACAATCAGTAATATTTAAAATACATTTTTTGTTCAGACTGGAGTTACAATATTTAAGCAATGGATATATGGCGTTTATAACTTCTGAAGGTATCAAACCTTGCATAGTTTTAGTCAATATTTTGCGAAGCGAGAAAAGAAATAATAAAAGGCGAGCTGCGCAATACCTATTTTATTCTTTTTTTTAGACTACTATAAAGCTCTCTGCTGCGAGTGCAGATGGCACTCCAAACCCGCGGAAGGATATATGGAGCGGCTGAGGGCCAACTCCCGCCTGACGGATACGACCTTAATCTGAGGGCACCGCTAGGGGTTCGAACCTCGGCTCAGGCTGTCGTAATATCGATCTAGTAATATCATAAATAAAAACATAAACAAAGTATAATCTTTACACGTAGGCAGACGGACGACAGATTAATTACTATTAAGGTTTCTTAGGATCGGCAGCGCGCATGTGACACACCTGGAGTTTCAGGCGTTCATAGGCTACGAAACCCGTTTACCATCAAATAAGCCGTAAAGTTGTGTCCCGACGTCGTAGCATAAAAAAAAACTAGTAGTAATTTAAACATGTAGTAAATACTTAGATATCATCGGTGCATAATCATCCGTAAAATAGACTACATCTTTATTATAATAGTGAACTTTTTTATGCCTACATACCTAATGTTAACCGGAACAGAATATTTACATTGAAATACTAAATATTCGTAACAGAAATGAACACGAATGCAATATCGCGTGCAAAGATAAATAGTGGAAGTGTTTCGAAGGAATATTATATATTTTACTTTCATGAAACGTTACGTCAGTTTTGCTTTTATATAATGAATGGTTTATTACATAAATTACTCACTAAAGTTCATAGGTTCTACATATCGAAATATAGTTCACTAATCACTGATCATATCACGCCCCTTGTATCTCTCCCATATTGTCAATCCATTGTACATTGCTTCTGTGTCCTCACAGAAGCAACGTACAAAAGATTATTGGAAAAAAATATCAAATATTAATCATAAGTTTACTTGTATTCGTTTTTTGAAATCACCCAGAAAATACAAACAATTAAACTCATGAAATCTTTGTATTGTGCGGGGATTAGATCCAGCGAACATCGTAATTAAAGCCGTAGACCACTGACACCGTCAGAATAGTTACACTCTGATAATCTATAGAAAAGGAAAGCAGTTTGTAAATTGTTTTATTACAGATCGGCAAAACATTTACTATGCCTTACAAACTACGTAAATTACGTTACCAAGTGGGCCATATGCTTGATTCGCACAATCATATAGAAAATTACTACGGACTACCTAGGAAACTAATTGATATCATTATCAAACATATAACTTACTTTTTTACACAATGCGCGGCGGTAAGCACATAATCCTTGGTGAGAAGCGAGGCGCCGCAATGGAACTGTCCATCGTAGACAATCCTCGCCATCCACGGGTACCGGTTGAGGCTGGCTGGCAAGCCGCCCACAATGCGGTTCTCCTGGTTCGCCCCTCCGCACTCTGCGGATCCGAGAAAGTAAGTTTAATGAACTATACGGAAGGAAGTGGAAACTCGACTACTACTAGTAGGTATTAACAGGTTAATTGACTATCTGCTAAGACGTACACGTAATGGCCATTAGCAACAATCCGTTATGTTGTAAAATAAATTCTATTTAGATGTAATTACTAAAGTTTATTTTAGAATTCATATTTATTTATTTTATCTTCTCAAAATTATTAATTTATTAGTGATCGATTGTCAAATCTAACGTATTTTTAATATATTAAGTAATAAAATTCCTTTCCTTAGTAAAAAATATTTCTTAGAACAATTATATGTTGACCTGATGTCAAATAAAAATGCAGATCTAATTTTCTAATGGTAGACATCTACATAATTACGTAGAGAATTATATTAAGAGTAATCAAGTAAAACTAATACTATAAAATAACAGATTCATTTGTTAAACTATAAAATTCATAAAAAAATCTTCAAAAATTACTAACATGACTTAAGCATAACAGCATGACCAAATGTAAAATCGTGTAAATTAAACCATACAATGAATTGAAAAAACTTCTTCTTTTAGACAATGGTGGAAACTTTCAGTATCTCTATCAATATCGAATAAATGGAAAAATAAAATTAGATTCGTAGGTACAAGCGATCTCCAATACTACAAGATGTAGCGGCAATCAAAAGCGACACCTAGCTATACTTTCACTATCATTTCCATAGTTCAATGCACAAGTTTTTTCCGTGAGTTTTCCATTTACAGCGAGACAAATTACGAGTGATAGATACAAGAGTAAGTATATAATTACAGCGTTAAAAAACTAACAATGCTGAGGAAATAAATAGTAGGTATACGAGTACTAAGTATTATCTTAGAAAACTACGAGTTATTATAGTACTTTAAGCAAAATTAAATGGTAAAGAACTTGTTAGTTATAATAACAATAATATATACAAAGCTAATTTCACATGTAATAAGGTAATTATTGCTATCTATTGCAACTGTTATAGATTATGTGCCTACTCATTTTTGATAATATTATTGTGAATACTAAAATAAATTTACAAGCCTTAAGGTAGGTAAAAACATAAGAAACTATTTTTATGTTTTAATTAGAATGTCAATAATTATGTAGGTGAAGCTTGTAATCGAACGATATATACGCATTATTGGCCTACACAACGGCGCGGCGCGGCGCCCGCCGTACTCATAGCTAATATTTTTATGTTTTTGTATACTCTATATATTATATTTACGCAATGCTTTACAAAGGATTTTAAATAAACAATGCTTCTATTACAGGATTACAGGATCTTATACCATAGATATATAAGTGCCTAATGTTCAGCAATTAGCAACTTTACGGTTGCTTACTTAACATGGACATTAGCGTATTCTTCGTAAGTACCTATATGGCAAAGTATGTAGTAATTAATGGATAGGTATTGTTTCATACTTTTCCTAACTCTACAGACCCATAACGCAGTCATATTTTGTACAAAATATAGCAAATAAAAATATTACTAAACTCACTAGTTACTACACTTGAATGACTTTTAGTGTAAGAAGAAGACCCAAGACCTCTATCCCAGTTACAGATGTTAGGTAGATGAAAAGATAAGCTATCTTAAATAATGTCAAACAAATTAATTGTTTACAAACTACGATTAAATATATAAGTAGGATTAGGTAGTTTTATTATAAAGTATATATAATTGATTATTTATTTTGACATTTACATCTATCTGTTAGGTACATATATCCGAGAAGATAACAGAAACCTATGTAACTCCTCCATAACAAATACGATAAAGTAATATAAAAATAAATATGTATGTTTAGTACAGTTAGAATTACACATAAGACAGAACAAAAAAATAACCATCGAATGTCTACTGTTTATGCTCTATAACCCTCAGTACATACTTTAAATATTTATAAAATATATAAAGTGAGATAATCAATAAACATATTATATTGAAAAAAAAGAAAATATCCACTCTAATTTAGCGACTACAAGTAAAAAGAAGGTGCAAAGGTGCTACACATACAATTCGTGCGGTTGTACACTACAGTGCAAAATTATAACTTACCCATCTTTCTAGGAATTGGGTTTGCTCTGCCGCACTCTATAATATGAATGTGAATGACAAATATTTAAAATAGACAGAAATAGGAAAAGTAATTACATAGACAAGTAAAGAAGACTTAAGATCAAGATTAGATCAAAGTAAATCAAGAGTTCCAATTTCTTAAATATTTACCTAAATAAAGTAGGTATTACCGCACATTTTCACAATGAGTTTATAGTATTTGTTTTACAAACAAAATGTAAAAATAGATAATCTAAGTAAGTAATCATTTTAAAGTCTCCATTACCTACAGTTATAAACTATGTATTAATATCTTAAACTTTATTAAAATACCTTTTTAAAAGTAACAAAAGTATTACTAAATGATAACAGTCTCAAATGTATGTATGTATATCATTTTGTTGAAAATTTACACGACAAAAATATTCCAAAGATATCCAAACAGTCGAATAATTTGGTAAATATATTTTGAAAACAAAGATTTTAATTTTAGGATACCTTGTTATCTTAGTTAGTAGGTACCTACGATAATTAAATTTCGATATAGGTACACACTATTTACGTCGTGTATTTTTAGAATATATTTATAATATCTATTAATACATTTTGCGCTACGACTTTCTTAGGTAAATATAAATTTGTTCAAAAATGTGAGAATACATACCACACGAGCAGTTCTTGACTTGCGAATCTTCCTCATCGTCTTCTACACTTTGCTCATCCAAAATTGGCACCTCCAAACCAAATATTGCGTCGAATAAAAAGCGCTGACTCCTATTGTTTGGCCGTACCTATGAGAGGACGAAATATTTCAAATTATATTATATTGTTATTATAATTGTTAATTAGGCATTGACAGAGGTAGGTCTACAGCACAATAAAAGCTGGACCAAATAAACAATAAAATTAATGAATCTCTACTACATTAATTTAGAAATCTCGGCTACGCAGATCGCATTGCACTTCTCTGTCTTCAATGTAAGGGATTCATTTTGATTATTCTATTAATTTTATTGTTCTACATTTTACACAAACTATACATCCTCTCTCTTACGCCTCTGTTGTGATAACAGTATAGTATACGTCATAAATATTTATAAAATTATATTTAAAAAATTAGAATGTCAATAATTATGTAGGTGAAGCTCGTAATCGAACGATATATACGCATTATTGGCCTACACAACGGCGCGGCGCGGCGCCCGCCGTACTCATAGCTAATCTGTTCCGTCAGACGGAAATGCACTTACATAAGTTTTGTTTACCGCATAAAGCTGGTAATGCCGCGGCAACAGCGCTTCACCATTGACTACACTTTCGCGGTGTACGTGCATTCGTTGCGATTACGCAATGCCCCGCGGTTAATTGGGCTGTAATGTCAATGTTACTTTCACAATCTTAATAAAGGTGCTCCAATCTGCTATTCATATTATCTTTTTATTTCCCTTAATTCTTTTACTTTCTCGTTTCTTTCTTTATATCGACATTTTGTAACAAATCTGCCTATTTAATTGCATAACGCATGGAATACTTTTTTGCTCTTGTAAAATTGTCAAGTGTAACTTCAGCATACCTATGTTTAATTCCACATAAAAACCGGCACGTAAGTAGGTTTATATGATATAAAGACATCGCCTAAATTACGAGTAGGTATAGGTCCTTTTAGAAATGCAGTAGAACGGATAGCTGTCTTCGCCAATAATCAATTTGATGTAATTTATTGTTTGCAATCGATTTAAAAAAATAGAATTGTAAAAAATGATCATTTCCAAAATGTGTAAACTATACAAGATCTTACAATACCAATAAATAATACCTAACTATGTGCCTAATTATTATTAGATTCCATCAGTTAAACCGCGATTAAATTTTTTATTATTTTAAAACAACAAATGCATATGTGTATATGATTTCCTGTAACTGCAGTGCAATATACCAATATGCCAACGTAAAATAAATTTTAAAATGTAGTGTAATAAACAATTAATGTTATGCAAAGCTGTACCTAACTATCGTGCACTAATCGTCACCCTGCATAATCAGCACTAGTTTTTGAGTAAGTATGTCGGAAGAGCCAGTCACCAGGGTTTATTTTGTAATAATAATATTTATTTTATTAGCTTAATTTCGACTTAACTGGTCTTATTTACAACATCTACTTCACACAATGCGTAGCTAACTGCATATGGATAAATATACAATATTCATGCACTTTCACTCGTGTGACCGACTCACGTAACGTACTATGACGAAATATTAGCTCGTCACATGTTAGATAACAGTTATGTATATTACAATGGGTCTAATGAGGCTAAGGTTGTCAAAGTATATAGACACTGCAATGTATACGTGGGTTGCTAATTGAGTGTGGGTGACCAAGTCACATGATTTTAATAAAAAAATCAATATAATATTACGTTTGTCTTTATGGTATGCGACTATTCGATAAATACTTATTTGTCCGCCCTGAATACATACTTTTGAATTTTATTATGTTACGAAACATAAACATGTGTTGCACAACAAAAAAGAAGTGACCTATTGAGAAACTTGAAACCAACTTTATAAACTTTTATATTTTATGAGATACCTAGATATAAAAACTTAATCAGGTTGCAATTGTATTTAACAATAAATGCTAATTAAAAAGATTAACAACCAAAGAAAAACTGTACATTAAAAATTAAGGTCGACTGATAGTGGATAAAAAAATAAGTAGGTGGATTCTAGAAAACATAGGACACATCTGAAACTGAAAGAATTAGTACCGTGACCCAGTTATCAGGGGATTTGGTTTTGCAACTGACCCTGACTACAACAAATTTGATCGTCGCCGAAGTTCAATGTTTCTGTGTCAATAGATTTGTTAACAATGTAGTAATCTACATAAAGCAGTACAGTCATATATTTCATATATAATATTTATATGCTTTTTTAATAATAGAAAAGATACGTTGCTCTATAAATGTCCTAATATATGAACAAGTATTTTTCAAAACCTATATAACAGTAACCGTACTTTTAAAACACAATTGTAAGTTAAGAAATTTCACGGCCATATTTAAAATCTTATATAATCCTATGTTAAAATCTCAATGTCTTGTAATGCTACCTTTTGTATATCATACAACATTGTAAGCACATTATTCACGTCTAGTGAAGCATCAAATCCATTAAATACATTTCTATTTATTTATTGTGCAAGCAGCTATTATGACTCCAAATTCATAATGTCAGTAAACTATGAAACCACTTTCCAAAGTATGGTTTCGTGGTGCCTTTCACGAGGTAATTGTTGTGCTCTCGTTTTGTTCTCCGTGGTCGTTTATCAGAGTATAAGAAAGTAACGCAGAAGTAATGGCGCCAACGCGGAAATTGTTGCACTTCAATCGCGTTAGTGCGTCGCTAAAAGTCGAACACTTTTGATAGTAATCCCAAGTTCCAATTATAACATTTCATGCTGAAACACTCGAATTTATAAGCTATAGCAAAAACCTATGGATGATTTTACCAAAACAATGTTTTCTCTATTATGTAATTTTATGTTCATTACTACTTTTGATTCTTAATCTTTTCACGATTGATAGGACTTGCTCCCCATACTGTGTCGATACTAACCATGATTATTATGAACTACTTTTTTTTATTTGAATATATATATCGTTTTCTACTTATCTATCAAGAACTGCAACTACACTGTAAGGAGAGATCAAAATGTACTCTATATCTTTATGGCAAATGTTGTCTTGAGCAATTATGCCTTCTTCGGCTATTTATTTTCAATGTGCATCGATAACTTTTGTAAAAGATATACTTTACTTTTGTGTGTGGTGTCATGACCAACACTCGAAGTACATACCTATCTACTTGTTTAGTACTATAATATAGGACAGTTTTATTCAACTGTAACTATGAATACATACAGGGTGGCAATCCAACATACGATTAATATTACGACGAAGATAAGATTAATACATTAATACTACATCTAACTTATATAAAAAATCTTATCTCATAGTGTTTGTTATCGAATCCTGAAACGCCTTGACTGATTTTTAACATATTTTACATCATTTGGTGTATTTCTGGTAGGTGTGAGAATTAGTAGGCAATTTTTTTTGTACCCCTAGGTGATAAAAATGTAGAAGATATTTATCAAAACCACTTAAGCTAGTAAATTATATCGTTGATCTTATTAATGTTATAAACGCAAAAGTTGGTGAGTACCTATGGATGGATGAATGTTTGTTCCTCTTTCACGCAAAAAGTACTGAACGGATTTCAGTACCTAATACTTTATACATTAAAATACCACATAGGCTATAAATTTCATGGGGGTGAGACCGCGGACAAAGCTAATAATATTATAAATAATAAATTCTAGTACGTAACTATACCGAGGACATACTAGTTATAATTACACGTAAATTATGGTTACCTAAATCAAACCAAGTATACCATATTATTAAATTAATACTTTTAATTATTAGTAATTATTACTAGCATTTTTACTTCGTAAAAATACAAGAAGGTTAACAACTAGGATCATGCTTTTATATTCAAATCTAAAGGGGTGTACGTAAGTAAAGGATATTTCTCTCATATACCCGTTTTTTGTGTTACCTCAGAACTTTTTCGACGTGAATCAACTTTTATAATTAAATATCGTTGTCGCGACTAATGGCCTATATAAGAACTAAAAATCACTAACTTATTTAGTGATTTTTTTTCACTATACCTAACATCCATATCGACTAGCTTCAGTCGAAGAACTAGCAAGAAATTTAACTAAGATTTTTTTAAATGTTATAATTACTTTTTTTACAGCGTTCAAGTATGCGTATTTTTACGCTTTTAAAATATTCTAAAAACCTTATTTGAGGTATGAATATTTTGGGCAATATCAAAGTAGTGGTAGTTTCACATAGTGTCTGTTAATTCATCTTTATCCCCATCATCACCGCTTCGATATTGCCTTTGATTTTAATTTCGCGTGTAGCCCGTTAAAGGTTATTTATCAATCTATACAAATAAATAAAATTGCATGACTTTTGAAAATTGAATTGAAATGATTAATTGTAATTTTGAATTAATTTCGAATAAATTCCTATTTAGTGAAAACCTTCACTAAATAGGAAAATATATACAGTACTTACATAAAAAATAATTTAAAAACTATTTGTTTGTGTCTGGTTGTCTGTTTTTTCTTTCTAATCTCTGTAACATCTAAACCATTTTAACTGGATCTTCACTCATAGATAGCTAACAGTATAAGGAGTACCTACCTTATGCTTGTTGTTTAGAAATGTTATTTATTGTAATAAAAAAAGTTAAATTACATACGAACGAAGTCGCGGGCGACATCAAGTAGGTATTTTATATATTCAGTTGACACAATATCGATCAAAGTAGATATACATAATAATATATTAATTGAAAATGCATATATAGATACCGGTTAAAACGAAGTTTATAAACATTTATTTATGCATATTATTACATAGAGGACTGATGAGAGCTATAATTTCAAATGAAAGGTATCACGAAACTCGCCGCAAAATTGGTAAACGTTTATAATATTGAAGTTAAGGTGTTATGTAATAATGATACAGACACGTAACAGCGAAAGCAATGCAGAACCGCCTTGTCATTAATAACCAAATGTTAATCTTAATTCATTAATTGATCTATACCAACATCGAACCATATCTATGCAATAAGATACCTATAGATACATTTTTTCACCAGACAGTAAAAAATCGTTTGCGTGGCCATCTCAGTCCCATCTATTTTTGCCCCTTTCAAGTTGCTTTGTAAAGTGTATTTCGGTTATAGGGCTAATCGGGAGCGATGCAGTGAAATTACAGAAGACATGAATTTTAGTCCTCTGAAGTGGCGACGCATGCGTATTATTACGTATCACGGATATTCATTTATTTAGAGAACGGTTACGACTATAACAGGCAGGTAGTTTACTTGATTCCAAATACGTTTAAAAAAATCAACTATGGTAAACATTCGATACCCGTACTTTAACTTCATATCCGTGACATTGATTAACTGGATAAAAAGGTAACATTCTTCTCCCTGCTAAATAATAATGGTGAGGACAAGAGATATGTGTAATTATAATATCTAATAAATTTACAAAACATATTTATACAATTAAAAATTAATGTATAAATCCTGTGAATTATTTAAATAACATTGTTTTGGTTTAACAGGCTAATATAGAACTTTAATTTTGGTATGGGAGACTTTGGAATCCAATTTTGTTTAATTTATGTATGTTAACTAATATAATATAGGTGGTTACTTATTGGTCAATTTATAGTACGTAACTACATATAAACATTCTCTGTTTTTAGAATCATATTACTCAAATGGTCATTGGCACATTTAAATTTACAATATTAGAGATACATAGATATGAGGTACCTATTACACTATAAGTCTAAGTGTACATTTTCTAAATCAATAAATAGGCCCTACATAACATAGCTTGGTTAATTTTTGCTATGTTTACTTATCAATGCAACAATCATAAAGTGAATCTCTTCATCGGAAAGTAAAAGTGCAATTACCTTATGTATGAGTCAATGTACCGGCTTGTGGCACTGCTCGATTCTACCATACGACAATTATTAGCGTAACTGAATGCTAATACTGCCAATAAAATACTCACATGGTTATCAAGCGTGGCGACGTCCACAGAGTTTATTTCCCTGCCATTTGCCAAATTGAAAGCAGCGACCACGTAAATTATAGTCACTATTCTCCATCTGCACATTGTCGTGGGGTCCGGGTCGGTCGCGATGTTATTATTGCTCCGCGCCACTATTTATTTGTGCGGCATCTCCACGCCGCGTTCACTGGCGAATTCGGCGACGATTCAATGGCATTATTTCGCAAACGTATCGCCCATGAATCGGCGGGCGAGTGTCGGCCGCGGCCGCGCGGAGTCCCCGAGTGCCGAGTTGGGGTCTTCGGCCACCACCTCGCGTACTTTCTCTCCACACCAAAACTTTACAGCGCTCCAGCGCCCCACCCGCTCTACGATGCACCACCGACTACGAGGTACATGATCTACTGCTGCATCGTATATTAAGTAATAACAAAGTATAAATTGGTGATTGGTAGATATTAAAATTCATAAGTACGGGTACTTAATAATTATTTATCATAGGTACGAAATATATACGCAATTCTTCGTGTTTCTTACGCGTATGTATATACTTCTTTATACTTGACATGAGATTGTAGGTTGATGTATTGCTAAGTACAAGCCTATCTACAAGCTGGTTACTGCGATGTCTCAAGACAGCTCATAAACTTATAACACATAGATACTCTAAGCATGATTGAAGTTACATTGAATGTTAAGAGCAGTCTAACGTAACCTTCCTACTTAATAGCCAATAATGAATACATAATTTTTTGCTTAAAAGGCTCAAAAGATAATCGAGCCTAGAGGCGTATTTATGCAAAAAACATTTCTTTCTATCTACACCACTCCACTGCATCATGAAGGTGGACGAATAATTTAAAAAATATACTCTTAGCAGAAGCTTACGCTTACGCTGAGATCTATATACAAAATTATTTATATAGGTATTCCCAGAAAATATTTTTTTCAAACCATTCTATTGCTGTTGGTCGCAGCTAGTCCATACAGTTTCACCAAACGATAAGCAGCGATTGCAGATGGCACTCCAAACCCGCAGGACCTATCCAACGGCTGAAAGTCAGCTTATGCCTGACGGACGACTATAGTCTGAGGGCGCTTCGAACTCCTAGCGACTTCGAAAATAAACTCAGGCCGTCGCGTCGTAACGTTCGATCCCCGTTAGTTAATTGTACGGAGGATCGAGCGGAGTGCGCCCAGAAAACCATTACCTTTATTTAATTCTGACACCAACGAAAACATATATATATTACATCTATAATTTAAGCAATATTTAAAGATAGTTTTCCATTGTAACAAATAAAAATATTCAAATAATTTAACGACGCCATGAAAACCAGTAGTTGCTTAAAAAATCTGTTGCATATGTAACAGTTTAACAAACGTTCCATCAGTTTAATACAAAACGTCACGATTATACGTGCGAGGGCAAAGGCTGACGTCGCCGTCAGTATCAAGCGTGCCGCGTTCACGCGGAAACGGTGAGACCGTTGATTTCACTTTCGTTTTATCTGCGGAAAATCCTACAACATCCGCACCAAGGCACCGCAAGTTCCCACAGAGAATATTATTAAATCGCAATTAAATAAATAAGTAGATTAGATTGCTTAGTTTAAATTCTGTATTTTAAACCATAAATTTTAAGTACTAAAATTGACTGACCTTTCGTGTATTTACAGTTACGATTGAATACCAACACTAAACCATTCAAATATCTACACATTGGGGCACCCTTGTAATATTAGCAGTGTACCTTGTAAACTCAATCTCCACCCTGTTCCTCTGTAAACAATCGTGGTTAATTTTTGAATCCGCGACGATAGCGGTTAAAAGATGTAATTTCACACTCATTCTAATATCTTACATTGGTGGCCCACCGATGTACACCACGCCCGTTAGCGCAGACAGAGCATTATTCCATTATCTTATGAATCCCGCCAACACTAACCGTTTACGCAGGCGAGGCACCAGTGGGAGATAAGATGAGCATGAGGTCAGGTCAGTTAGCCGTGAGAAATTCACCAAGAATTTATCAAGATGGATTCCAGGGGAAACCGCGTGGAGGTCAACTTGACATTGTACATTGATAGCAATAAGATCATCAGTCCACATTACTAACAATCCCGATTTCATTTCACTCTCATTCGAATAATTTACACTGGTGGCCGACCGAAGTAAATATACCGTGCCCGTTAGCGCATACAGGATACCATTCCATTATCATTTAAAAAAAACTACAGACCAAATGCAGAGTACTTATAAATATGTAGATACCCACCTGTCACTTCCACATTGATTATGGCATAACATAAGGAAAAGGGCATTGTTAATAATGGGGCTTAACGACCCCCTAGCTAGAAATTTACCATGTCGAGTTGATCTCCACGCGTTCTCAAAGCTGACTTCAGAATATCTGTCCAACTTTAAAAAAATCACTCTTATTACAGCTTTTATCTTATTAACCAGTACCTAATCTGAAGGAAAATATCGTTCAGGATTTATAGAAATTACCTTTACTTTGTAGTTGCTCAACAAGCTGTATTGTCGAATGCAATTGTGTTGTATTTTGGAGTAGAAAAAAAACAAATATTCTCTCTCACGTGCCTATACTGCCCAACGAGCCAGTCATGATTTATTTGACAGCTCTCCAAGTAATTGACACTGTTAGTCACATCTGTGAGATTCCTTCCTAGTGACAGCACTGATGGACCAGAGTGATACATTATTGGCAATGTGCTCACTATTCCGCATTACTAGTAATCTTCCTCTCGCCCTAATGTTTATAATCAACAACTTCACATACCTTTATATTACTACAGTATACAAGTTGTTACATGCGACTTGCATCTGCGTGGAATTTCAGCTTTTTTTATTGAACTAAAATTTCTTAAATAAAAGTAGCTTACTAGCATAGTTATACTAATTATTGTTGAACATAATTTTAATATTCATGTACTGTTTGTATATTGGTAATAAAGAATATATATCTAAGTCAAAGTTCCGTCAAAATCGGTCCAGCCGTTTCTGAGATTAGCAACAGAAAAAAAATCAATTTCATATGGATTCAGTGAAAAGCGGTTAATTTGAAATTACAGATAGTTGAATTTTATTTATTGGAATAAATTGCTTAACATTCAAAAAAGTTTGAATGTTAAGCAACGGAGTTAAGCGACGGAGTCAGCTTTGTCAGTACTTATATATATATTATACTTTAACTTATTTTTACTCATTAATAAAGGTCGTATTTTTAGACAATTTCAACATATTCGATACCCACCGAAGCTACTTAATTTCTTTCATACATTTTTTGTATATACATATCAATCAAATTCAAATAGTATAGATTGATCCGTATATCAATTATATATATGGATCAATCTATACTAAACGTATATGAAATAAAGGTAAAAGAAATCGTTGATAGTGGACACTACTGGTTCCATTCCTAACAATGTAGGTACCATCATGTCAGGTCGACCTCCACGAAATTTACCATCAGACCCCAATTCAAACTTCATCCTCATCCTGCATTGGTGTCCCCCGCCAACCAGGAGGGGTAACCAAAAATTTAACCATTCCAGATCCATCTAAAAGAAATTGTCGATATCTAGAATTATAAATCGATTTTGACAATTTCTATTTGAATCGAACATTCTATGACAATTTATAAGGTTGTAAAGACAAAAACAATAGTTTGTAACTATCTCTCAAGGAACAAAAATAGTAAAAAAAATTAAAATTATTTCATTTAATCTTTGTTACCATTATAGCTTAGCACTAGCAAATCTGTAATCCAAAAAAAATACACAACTCGTGTTTCCAGAATTTTAAGTAGGTAAATTATATATGTACGTAGGAACTTCCAGATATTTGACAATTATGTAAAGATGTATATATGAGGTATATCTGAACAAGGTAAAATAATAAAACAAGTGTATTTAAAAAATATTTATTTCGTAAAATATTAAATAAAATATAAAATTAAATGAAATTTAATTAAAATAATTGAACACAAGACTTACCTGTAGTTGAAACAACCTTGGCAGATTCAAAGGACCTCGACGTCCCCGTAGTTTGCCATGGAAATAAAAGTAATAATATTAGAAATTAAAATGAAAATAAAAAAGACCCATGTGTTGATTTACAGTAATTTCAATCAAATCTTCCGACATATCCAACAATAGGTAGGAAAGGAAAAAAGAACTAGAACACCTATCCTATGTTCCTAGGACTAACATTTAAACATCGATACTAGGTAATTACAGTCTATTGAAAACGTATGCTTTATGTATAGTAAACAATAATGTCAATTTCGTGTTGTTCATGGCTAAGGAAACCTACCTACCTGAACTATAGGTTGTGATTTGCTATATTTCTTTGGTCAAGTTGAGTGATGAATTGATAAAAATTACTGGAGTAAATTTCATTATAAGAGTACAGGTAAGTAGATGCCTACTTAGATATTGTTTTGTCACAAATTACTGATTAGTCATAATAAATAATTAACTACAGTAACACAATAACTTTACTTTTCCGGTAATAAATATTAGTTGTAATTCTAATTAAACATTACATACAGTAAATATTATACTAAAAGGTTATGGTTTATTAAAAAAAAAACTATATACCTACCTAACTTTTCCGTAGGCATACGTTCTTAAAATCCTGTTTATATTTATGAGATTAAACAACAGCGCACTTGAATGAAATTCATCTTAAGTTACTCATTTCTACCAACAATGTTTATGTTAGTAGGTAGGAGGATATATGTTAAGCATCGAGTTATAAAATTAAAATGAATGATGAATATAGAGAATCTACTATTTTTAACAGGCTGGTCAAAGGGTGGAAAAGGAAGGATGCACAGCGGAATAGGTGTGAGAACAGAAATCCCTATTTAATTAATAGATTTACTTCTCAATTTAAAGCACTCTGTACTACTAGTTGAAAGTTATTTTGGGGAGAAGTGAAAATACGATTAAAATTTATAAAATATCTTCAAATTATAATATTTGATATGTTTTTTTAAACAGAGTTTATCAAGTTCCATAAAAACTTGGGACGATTGAGTGTTTTACATACAGTGTAGTGTATTATAAAAAAATATGCCTATGCAAAGATATCTTGTTATAATTCTGGCACTAAATAAATTTTAACAGGAACCAAGGAGTGATAGGTGTGATTATTTTAAACTGTTTTTGTTCGATTTCATTATTAGAAAAGACGGAAACTGCATATAAACTGAATTGAAGAGGTAATCTTTCTTCCGTATTAGTACATTTAAATTACTTCCATACGCTAAATGGCGATAATACTTAATATAATTTTACGTTCAGAATACAACTATAAAATAAAATCATACCAATTCATTCATTCTATAAAATCTTTTTTCTAGAGAACGCCACACATGCGCAGACGATATGTTTTTAATCGTGCAGTACTACAGCAACAGAAGGAATTGCAATGATCAGCTAAATTGTCTATGGGCAATACTCGTTATAGCCTTGGTCTTTATTAGAATTAATCAGGGTATAATACTATATTTCAATGACCTTTCATTACTGTTATAAATGCAACTGTAATTGTTAACACTTGGCGCTTGTAGTAGATTTGGCATACACGCAGAATTTGGATCAGAGGACATACCATTACTTCTTATGACGCACAATTATGACATGTATTTACATTAAATTACATCATATACATATATGTAGTCAACTTGTAGAATATTAGGTGTAGTTGAAAAACACGGCTTTGTGTATTGAAAAAAAAACTTGTCAAAATCACATATCACGCTGTACACAATACTTTATATTTTTCTAAAAATATGGTAACCCTATAAAGACAGTTTTTTTAATGTCACACGGGAAAGAAAGTACGTGTAAAGGTTACTTTTTTCGATCAATAAAATTATGCTTCTGCCTGCAATAAAGGTATAAGCCGTCGGGGAAATAATGGGCGATGATGTAAATGATGTCAGGACAAGTATTATCAAACCCTAAGAAATTCAGATAAATTAAACATGACATTTCTATTGGAGGTATCTGGTATAACTGCCATCACGTAGCATGTTACAAGTTACGATAAGTGGGTAATATTTGAAACTATTGAACATAATTTTATTTGATATCAGTTTTATTATACTATCTAGATACATTATTTATCCTAGAAAACTAAATTGTGTATTTTGATTTTCCTAGAATGGTGCAGTAAACAGTAACATTGTATTGTGTGTGCCAATAAAATTACTGTTTACCATAGAAAACTAGATTATTCTGTATATCGATAACCACATTTTATTTTTCCTAGTACGGTATAATTGTATTATTTAACAACACTACTATTATTACCGAACCGAAACTTAATTATTCTATACTTCGATGATCCTCTAATTTTCTATAAAGCAACATGTAACAGCACGGTGAAGTTTGAACGCGCATATAGATGGCGTTGACTTAGGGACCGTTATTCCGATGCCCTCGTTTTCTTTCCAGTAGCGTAACTGTTTATTTCCAAATACAGTTGGAGTGTCAAGCATTCTATACTGACACGGTTAGTCACTATTCACGATTGTAAATAATAAAGGTCAAATAATAAAGACGTTAAATACCTATCTAATTTAATTAATTTTAGTAATGTATTCAGTAACATCATGAATATATCATCTAGGAATAGAATATAGTACTACATTTAAAAAAAATAAAGACATTTTTTAAATTACAATAAAATGTTAGCATTCAGTTTATTATTGAATGTTGCAAATTCAATAATCACATTACTGTGTATCACTGATATATTAGAGAGAAGAAAATGAAACAAGGAATATTTACAAAAATCTAAAGAAACAACCCTACTGATTTGTATTAAAATTTATTTTACATTATATTTAAATTTAACCTATAAGTCATAATTCTACACCTACATTCATTAACAGTTATTTGAGAACTTAATACTGAGTAATCTATAGAATTTTTTAATTTAAAGAATGAACAAGTCTAGGTCACACTGATATTAATAAAACTGCTATTTAGTTTAGGGATCACTTACACGAATTATCCTAAGTTGTACTTAATTACTCGTAAACACGAAACTAATTCTCATTTTACATAACTATTTCCTTATTAAGTATGTCAGGTAAGTACCTAAGTACTACAATAAATAGAAGACCAACTTACAATATCAGTACACATTAAAAATACTCTAATCTTTTTCTATAAAGTAAGAGTCGAAAGACTCCAGCTACATGTCTAATGGTTTCCTGACGGCTTCTCCTAGGTGGTCTCGCGTGTGGACCATGAGGTGTGTATCTAGAGTGCTCCGGAGCGTACTGCCTACACTAGCACGGTTAACACTGCTTTACTAGTGTACTTAGCACGAAACCTAGAGATTGAAAAAACCTTTAATAAGTCATGTACAAATAAATACACTAACATAAGGGGCCTACCTGCATAGCATTAATCAACGAACTATCAATGGATAACATAGATATCTATCTCTTCCTAAGCTCAATTAATGCTATGTAGTGCTCAAGGCCTAAATTATTATATCTAAAACTCAAGACAAATAACCATATTTCCTATAATCAACAGGAAGAACAGATATATTAACATTTATAATGACTCATGGAGTAGCTTTGGTGTGAAATAAATGAGTGATGCTGTATTGGAGTGAATAGTGTTGTACTTACATTGTTTAGAATCGACCTCCTCGCCCTTGGCCACCGCCATAGTTTCCACTGCCGTAATTGCCGCTACCGCCTCCACCCCCACCCTGGTTCATGTTGTAAGGAGTAGACCTGTTATTGCTGTATTGCTGATTCCTAGTTGGCCCCCCACTGTATCCCTGTTGATTATAATTTCCAAAATCTTGATTTCCCCAACCCCCACCTCTGGCATTGCCACCTCCATAGCCGCCGCCACCACCACCCCCCTGGTTACCACCCCAACCTCCCTGATTGTTGTCCCATGGATTGGAATTGTTCCAGCCACCCTGATTACCACCATAACCACCTGAAACAGTAAAATTGTTATTATAATATGCTTGATTTTGTGGGTATAAAACAATACCATAAAATTACAAAGTATCTACCTGAATTACCCCAATTATCATTTCTGCCCTGTCGTCCTCCACCTCCTCCTCCTCTTTGCTCAGAGCCATCTTTTGGAAGTGCTTTCTTAACATCCAATTGTTTCCCATTAATTTTATGAGGTACATTCACTGGTGATGAAAATAAATTTATGAACAAATGCAGAAGAAAAATTCTTTGTGAATCAAGTTAACAGTACTTAGTGAAACTTGTATTTTATAAACATTAATTTTTGTTGGATTGGACAATGAAATTAATTGTATAAATTTAAATGTACAATGACTTGCGTACCAAAACTACCATTATATCTAGTAGTATGGTATAGCTAAAGTCAATTAATAATATCCACAGTCAGAGAAGCCAGTTTAGGACACATACTTCCATTCTGGGGCAAAACTGTGGAAACAATTTAGAGTTTAATCAGTTTTAAATTAAATACTTACAACAAACTTTGTCAACAGGGTCATAATCATCAAACTCAACAAAACCAAAGCCACGCTTCTTGCCGGTTGCCTTATCAGTGACAATGCTGACGTTCTGTACATTTCCATAGTTAGAGAAATATTCACGGAGTTGATCCTCATCATGATCATCCTTGATGCCACCAATGAACAGTTTTTTAACTGTAGCACCAGCCTCAGGATTTTTAATATCTTGCCTAGCCACGGCACGTTTGGTTTCAACAACACTGCCAAAAATAATAGTAAATTTAATCACCTAACATTCTAATAATGATATAAATGACAAATATATTTACAAGGAGAATAATTGTTGACGCTGCAGAAAACGCCACGTTTAATGATACGACGAGACATTCACCATAGCAACATCATATGATTTTTGCAGTTGAAAACGATATGAAAATGACTAAAACACTTCCATATAGCTGGACTGCAGTGAATAACGCGATTAATAATTACAGTACAAAGGATGAACTCACCGGCCATCGATGCGATGCGGCCTATTGTTCTGCGCGTCATCCACCATGTGCGCCTTAGAATACGTGATAAAACCAAAACCGCGGGATCTTTTGGTTTTTGGATCCTTCATTACCACAACATCCACAATTTCACCCCATTTTTCAAAATGAGATTTTAAGGAGTCATCAGTAGTACGATAATTTAATCCACCAATGAAAATCTTACGGTGAACTTCTGGCTCATCCTGAAAGGTAAGTAGGACGCAACATGAACAAAATGGCGGATGGCGTGGTGTTTACTAAGAACAAATTTGTATGAATAATGCGTAATAGTGCTATTTAAATTGAAATAACTAATTAAAATTAAATTGAAATTGGTATGTATAAAAATAAGAGATTATAAATAAATAATTAGATTACAAATATTAGGAATCTGGTTTCATATTAATACAGAAAATACTTACGAATTCATCATCACCATTTTGCTGGGGCCTCATTTTGGTAGATATCACTATTAATTACAAATAGAAAAGTAAAGAAAGACCTAATTAAGAATAATTATAAGATTAAAACACTTTCTAGCAGAATGACGTCTGCAAATATACACGACCGTTTCGATGCGACGCCACGCCAAAAAGAAAGAAATAATACGCGATGAAAAGAGAATGGATGAGATATCAGTGTTGCCAACAAAGTACGAACGAATCTTGCTAACAATACACGGAGTAGAACAATATAATCCCAATTCTGAGACATATCAATTACGAAAATACAGTCTAGTTTCATTTTGTTCAACATGAACATATTGACAACATAAGCACATTAATAATAATGTTAAATAAATTTATCATATTACTACAGATAAAAAAAATTGTCTAAATCATTCTTGTTTAAATTTTACTAAGTAGCTGACTAATTATAAAAATAATGAATAAGCTACGGAGTAAATTAAAAGTAATATTAAAACGGATTGGGCAACCTCAATAAGCAGAAAGAAAATAAAATAAATGTGTGACTACAATATAATACATAATTATGATGATGGTATGGTATGTAATGTAAAGGCCATTTCTTAAAAAGTACACAAGTAATCATTTTAAAACCAACCACATACTTTAAAAAGTGAATAGCGTTGGCTACTTTACATAGCAGTTTTGCGCTTAATAGTTCGCAACTGGGATTGCTCAGTTAAGTTTGCTCTATTTCAACGAACGAGCGAACAAAATAGTTCGGTCTCTGCTGATTTGAATAAGACAAATGCGATATTGTGATCAACGTCTAGGCCTATGAGTATTTATATCCGCAAATGGGTATATGTTCTTGTTATTTTAAGATCTGCGAAATACTTCTTAATTGGCAGTTCCCAGTGAGAACGTTCCCGACCTCCACAATCTAATCTGCAATGTTTTTACTGCCAAAGCTTGGCACATTATATCATTACTATTAACGTAATTAAATATTATTTTTAAAAACATTTACATGCTTATTTAATTTCTTATTTATCATTTTTTTGTTTCAAAATGTATTTAATGAAAATTAAATTTTTATTGGCAACGTACCGTTTATGGTTCTTGTTTTTTGTTTGGACTTAATATCGACCTAACCATATTTTTTAAAACTTGATATGGATGGCAAAATTATTTTATTCCTCTGAATATCGTTTCGATGATCTGACTGGACAGGACTGATAACTTTATTGATAGCAATGTACCATGTCAGGTTGACCTCCACGCGGTTCCCCCTGGAAACCATCGTGATAAATTCTTGAATTTGTCACGATGGGCTATCTAACTTGACCTCATGCTCATCTTATCATCTTCCACTGGTGCCCCGCCAGCGTAAACCGTTAGAGCAGGCGGGTGCACCATTCCATTATCATCCATAAAAAAAAATACTCTCCAACGGGTAATCATGACATTTGCGACACGAGAGATATAAAGTTGTTCTGGCAAGCGAGTATTAGCCTCAGGCACTTCCAGTTCATTATTCTTTCAGTTGACCACTTAGACGTAACGGGCCCAACTAATAGGCGAAAACGAACGAAGCTCGGGTGGGTGGTTCACTCCAGCAGTATCATGAGGTAAGGAGCACGAGCATATGCTCGAATCCGATCCATAATCCATAACCAGCGGCGCGTAAAGGCCTGCGGATAACGCAAACTGGAACATCAACTATGTTTTTCTTTTAGTTTGTAGACGACACTCGAAGTTAAGAAAATTGAAGGGAAAATAAAATGATTTGCATCTAGGTTCATAAAATAATGTACATAAAAACTATTCTTCAGTATCATAGACAGAAAATAAAAAATCTTCTGATCTATGCTCTTGATTGACTTTAATAAATACAGTACTATTTAATTCCACTATATATTTTACTGTCTTACTGTATTCTTTCTAATTAATAAGCTTTTATGGTAATTTTAGTCTTTGACTGATTAATGTAAGCGTATCTGAAGGTAGTTGAGCGTCACGTCAAGTATAAAAAACAAAATGAAACCAAGCGGCAGCGGTGACGAATATGTAAGTATAATTTATTATGTACATTTCTTCTACATTTTCTTATAATAAATTAAAAACAGTAAATGATATTTATTAAACACGTTATCTGACATAAATCCCATGGTTTTTAAAAATATTTTTAATAATAATTAACTGTAATTAATTTTTTTATGTTTAGTAAATTGCTTATGAATAAAACATTTCACAGGAGGAACCAGAGCATACGCGTAAGTTGTTCATAGGAGGCCTAGATTACCGCACTAATGATGACTCACTGAAAGAATTTTATGAACAATGGGGTGAAATTGTTGATGTAGTTGTAATGAAAGATCCACAAACTAAGAGGTCAAGAGGATTCGGTTTTATCACTTATTCTAGAGCACACATGGTTGATGATGCCCAGAATAGTAGACCTCATAAAATTGATGGCAGGTAAGTTTACTTTTCGCAATATTTCATCTATGACTGTCTAATTGGTAGGTATTATATATAGATATTCATATTGACTATATAATTGATAGGTTGTCTATGATTACATTATAATTTAATAATTACTATGAAAACTATTTATATCTATACATTTTTTGTTATGGTACCCATAGATTTAATAAAAAAGGTATAGTATTGTAGAAAAAAAATGTTTAGATTGGGAATAAGATTTATATTTGACACTAAAATCAATATACATTTAACTATTGTATGTATTCTGTGTTTAATATGGTATAGGCAAATACTACATTAAAAGATAATTGGTTGTCTTGAGTTAACATAAACTCACTGTCACATTCTAATATTATAATACATTTCTTAATGACTTGATTTGATCCCCCAACCTCTTGGTCTTCTTCTTTTTATTAATAATAATACAGTATTAAAATTAAGAAGAAAAAATATTAATTTAACTCTAGGCATATTTTTCCAAGATTTCTTTACCCTGTATGATGAACTATATTTAACTACATCGACTGTGAAAATTTTATTAAATTTTTTTTTTATTATTATCCTAATTAGCTGTTTTATGTCAAACTTTAACACACTAATAAATAGACTGTTTTTGTCTGGATGTTAAGATTTTATTATATATGAGCAAGTGTGAACTTTAAAATATGTAGTTTTAATATAAATTGTAAATATAGTGATAAAGAACTATGTAATGTAAAATAAAATAAAAATATTAGTTTCATACTACTGAATTAATTAATATTATGGCTACTACTATTAGAATAAAAATTATTAGTATATGAAATTTATAAATAAAAAGTGTATGTACCTTCTTGGGCACACAATGTATTTAAACTGTATCTTACTTTTGTTTTTTCGAATTCATAAATCACAATTCCTGCATTTATGTTACACTGCAATATGTTAAAATATTATGTTTATCTGACTAGAGTTGTAGAACCAAAGAGGGCAGTGCCAAGAGAGGAGATAAATAGACCAGATGCCAGTGCCACAGTAAAAAAACTATTTGTTGGAGGCTTAAAACAAGATATAGAAGAAGAGGACATAAAGAATTACTTTAGTTCTTATGGAAATATTTTATCTGTGACTTTAGTTACCGAAAAGGATACAGGGAAAAAGAGAGGTTTCGGTTTTGTGGAGTTCGACGATTATGACCCTGTTGATAGAATATGTTGTAAGTTTTTGTTATCATTTCTTTATTAAGGCCATTATTTTATACTGTGTGTGGGAATGGGTGTCTTGAGATTCATTATTTAATCTCTTAGATAGATTGAAGAAGACTATTTATAGGTTATTGCTACTTTAAACTTTGTCTGCTTTTTTGAGATTAAAAGTAGCAGCTTATCCTCAGAATGCACCATCTATCTTCATGTAAAATTTTATGGAGATTTATTCTGCTGTTTAATTGTGAAAAAACAGCCAGACATACTTTACTATTATAATATTAGTATAAATTAACAATATTATTAATTAGTGGATTCATATCATTCTGTTCACTGTTTGGCCACAAAACTGCAACTTCACAGTCACACTAAGCTTCCAAGCTATATCCCAACTCCATTCATTGCCTTAAGATGCCTTGGTCAGAGGCAAAACAAATACACAATATGGGTGTAGATACAATAATGGTGGAAATTTAACCCTAATCAATAATGTTGTAATGCTTCCTGTAGCAGTGGTCAGGTTGCACCACTGAATATTAGATATCTCAATGAGTGAGCTAATGGTAGCAGAATTAAATAAAATTATGTAAATCCATTAAGTAATGAAAAGAATACCTGATCTGATAAAATATATTACTATAAGCTGTTATGTTTATTCATATGTAAATATAATATATTTCTTATAAGGACTTAGTCTGATATATTTATATATAATGGAGAATAACATAGTTGCATATTTTTTTTATTTCAAACTTTGATTACCTATTCAAGGCGTGAAACTGGTACATACATTTGCATAGTATACATTTTTACTTACAATTTATTGTCTATGATATTATTCACGTAGCTGGAAGAGGAAGAATGGCGAACCTATGTTCGCTAGGAGTACACATGGTTGTCTTTGGAGAAAGTTTAATACAACAGTGCAGAGATACAGGCTGAGATAGATCATGAATGATGTTTATTAGGAATAGTTTTTATTAACAAAACTGCAGTAAAATCGTTGTAATAAATTAAATTTCAAATTTTATAAATGCAATAACGACATTTCGTTTATTTTAAGTGCAACAGAATCACAAGCTCAATGGCAACCGGCTAGATGTGAAGAAAGCTCTGTCTAAGTCTGAAATGGGCGGTGGCGGTGGAGGTCGCCGCGGTGGCGGACGTGGCGGCGGTGGCGGCGGTGGCGGTGGTGGCGGCGGCTGGGGGCACCGGCAGAACCAGGACTGGGGTAGTTCCGGTACGTATAACTAGTATGAATCTAGCTGCCCTCGATTTCTCTAGCGCGAATTTGATTGCTTGTGTTATTCTGATGTATAAGCTATATAATGTAAAGTTTCATTAAAATCCATTAAAAACTGTTATAATAATAATATCCAGGAATCTGCCCTGCGCCAACTACTAGACAACTGATAGAAATCCTTAATATATTTTGTTACATATATTTATTATGCATAGAAAACACCCAACCCAATACAAATAATCATACTTAGGACTACAATTGTTTGCACCGTGAAAGGAATCGAACTCGTGACTATTGCAAGTAAAGTGTTCTAAACTACTAAACCGCCAAGTCCCAATATTGCTATTCTTGGAACCTATAACTAATAAAAACCAGCAATCACATAAGTATTTACAAATATACCTTTCTTTCTTATTGCACTACATTATTGTCCATTATATATAGATGATGGTGGATATAATTCAGGATATGGACAAGGAGGATGGAGCAACCATAATCCATGGGAGTCCAACAATTCTGGAGGCAACTGGAGCAATCAGGGTTATGGCGATCAGGGTGGCTGGGGCCAGTCATCAAACAATTTTGGAGGTGGCTATCAGCAAGGTTTTGGAGGTGGTCCCATGAGAGGTAACTACAATACCTCAAGGGCCCAACCTTATAATTCAGGTATTATATAAAACAAAGTAATTTGCATTACTACCTACTTAATGCAGCTATGTTTGTAAATTTACTTTTGTCATTATATCTTAATATGTAATTCTGTACCTAAATAAAATATTGTTTCTCATAATATATACAACTCAAAACTGACAAAGAAATGTGAAGTTCTCAGCTTCAACAAATTTAATGCAGATTCCAACTGACAATGGGCCAAGAAATAACTAATTCCAGCCATATTGAAATGAAGTCTTACTTGTTAACTTGTTTTGTTACTTATTTTTTCAAATATGGCATGCAAAATATGATAATATTAAGAACAGTTTTTTTAATAACCCAACCTTCTAACTTATCAATGTATACCATATAATCATAAGATAGATGGATATAGGAGTATACAAAAATTGCAGGTCAATAGGAATTCTGTGCTTTGAAGTTGTATTGAAATAATTGGTTTTATGTTCGATATGGCATAAGTATATTTATGTATAAATAGAAAAAAATAACGTCACTTGTAAGAAAACTAGGTATTAAAAAAAACTGTTCTTGTAGGGGGCGGCGGAGGTGGTGGATATGCAAGCGGCGGCGGCGGTAGCGGTGGTAGTGGTGGCAGCGGAGGCTCCGGCCCTAGCTACAACACTGCGGGCAACCCATCTGGTGGTAGCGGCGGTAACCAGCGCAGATTTTAAAGCAGCACTAACTCCTCTTGTAAGTACTTACACTTTGCTCAAACATACTTATCAAATATACACATTAACACCAACTATTGTTTAGGACATAAATATAAAAAGAAAAATACCGATAATCAATTTAATATTCGGTTGGATGCATTTAAAAAGTTTTCATCTCAAGTATTTGTGATATACACTTGTATTTTTCAATGTGTAGGTCTCAAGTTACGCTTAGTTGAAGCTAGGCAGGCAGGCAGGCAGGCGGTAGTATAGTGATGGGAGGTAGGCCACGCAACAACTAGCTAGTGAGGGCCAAGCGGATTTAGTGAAGCGACCACATTTAAAAGTCATTTAATGTTTTATTTCTCCTTCAAGTAAGGTTTGTTCACAATAAGGTACTGTGTAGGCACTAGAATCGTTTATAATTTTTGCCCATTTCAGCACATCACAGTTTTTACATATTAAACATATTAAGCACACCTGTTATGGTCAGCAGTTTTACTAAAAATACTGAAGAAATATTTTCGTTCTCAATCTATATTGTAAAAGCTGTGGCTTGAAAGCAATACTTATGTTTCTAGTCTGTAAGAATATATATTTTATATATTGTGTTATAAATGTTGGTCACTTTATTTTTTATGAAGCTCAGTTAGCTATATGTAGCTATGACATTCCAAAATAATTTGAAAAGACCTATTGCGGTGAATTTACATAACTTTGTTAAGACTGTTAATCTGATTATTTTTATCTGAACGTCAGTGTATTAATCTAAACCGTATTTATATCAGGTTAAATATTCTAAATGTAGAAATAGATTCCTTAAATAAGTAACAGGTAATGTTATATTCGAAAATTACTCATGTTTGTTCATTATATTATTTTTACTACTTAGTTTAATCGGTGTTAAAGATGTTTGCCTAATTATTTTTATGTTGTAAAATTATTTAAAATGTAAAAGTTATTATAATATAAATTATACTATTGTGTTCCTGTTATATTCACACGATATTTTTGATTTAGTCATATTTTAAAAGTGTGAAGTAAAATGTTTTATTATATTTTGTGTGCATTGAATTAAATGTATAATGTTTTCCATGGACTCTTCTACATGGACGAGACATTCGAGTGGAAAAGGCCATGGTAAGTCGACTTTGCCCAAATAAAAATATTAAATAACGAATATTCTTTTATTTCAACTTGATATCATATATTACAACACTATATATAATATATATTAAAATATCATACATATTTACAATAAATGTTAATGGTAATAATTGATTAAAACTACATAGAAACCTCGGTAGTATTACATTCTACTACTTTGATAATACTGACATTATTAAAATTATTAAATATCTCATAGCGTTTTGATTTATATGTCTGTGTAGGCACATACATTCAGCAACGGAACACAGAAGTAATTCTCTATTTTGTGCATTCGCACTGGAATTGCACACGCCCATGAATAGCAGTAACCCATTAATAACTGGTGTGATTATAATGATCTCAAAACATAAGCATCTGTTCTGAATAGATGCAGATACAGATTCTTTTTAAGATTCAAAAAGAAAAATAATGCAGATGTTTTATAGGGCCTGTTTGCAACTACTGTTCACTGTACTATATTTTAAACCCATTTATTTATACTAAATAGTGAAGTATTTACAATGAGTATTATAAACACTTATAGTAGGATAATTATTAAAATTTTATGCATTTAAACTTAAAGGAAAATCCCTATCTCGACTTATCTACCTCGTTCGAATCTGGCCATCAGAAGAAGAGGAAAAGAGGAACTTTGTGTATCAATATATATTTTGAATTTCCGATAATGGAAACATCAGTAAATAAACCTTACTGCGATATGCTCGCTAAGTCGCTACATGCTGTTGGATTTAAATATGCCCAGCGAAATGTGAGCATACCACCACTACGGGAAGCGTTACGACCTCTATTCGACTCGCATGTCATAGCGCTTCCAGAAGTAGTGGTCAGGTACGGAATATTTGTGGTCTCACACATACTGATGGTAGCGAAATTAAACATAAATCCATTAAGTAATAAATGGAATTTCGCAAAATAACACGTAATTCGATAAAATATATAACAGGTTGACAAGTCACAGTGTCTCTCAATACGCGCTGCTGGTATACATTTCTTAGAGGTACATGATTATTGTTTTATTTAGAAAATTATAACATTACGCTGATTACAATATTTTTTAGTTATAAAGACCATTGGATACAATGGAAATCAGCAAGTTTACATTTAAATATTCTAATAGCGTACTATTATACATTTAAATATCTTACGTAGAGTTTTCTTTGAACCAGAGTGCATATAGTTGACGAAAATGCTAAAGCCGATAATAAACTAAAAAGTTTACTCGAGTAATATATTAAATCTTGTTGACGAATATTTTTTAGTTGATTTCTTATACGGGTACGACTATCGCTTAATTGTCGCTTGTTCACGTTCCGTTACACTCAGTTAGAGCTTGTTGATTATATTATTTGTCTAGCGGTGGCGGCGGCAAGCAAGGACACGGCGGTGGACAGTAAGGAGCACCTAATACTGATGGAAATAAACCCGATGCAGCTGCTAAATGTCTGTAATCAAATAAGTTGTATATATATACACCATCTAATATTAGTAATTGTTTCCTTTATGGCTAGTTCAGTAGGTATATGTGGTACCTGTACTGTTGATCAAGATGAGCCTTCTCTATTCTTTTGTCTTTTGCTCTTCGGTTTTGAAACCAGATTTTAACTTGTGTTTCACTCAGTGATAGAGCTGACGCGAGTTCACACCTATAACAAATTAAATCAAAACATTTTAATCATGTAGGTCTATTACAGGCACTCAAGACAAGTAGAACCACCAGTATGAAATGTAGGTTGACTAAACATAGTACTGAATCTATATTTAACAAGCCTGTTTACTTATTACTTAGTTAAAAGTAATCAAAAAAACAAAAATACTTTTTACGCTTCTCTGAGATAAGCGTACATAAACGGTCTTATTCATTTATATGCGATTTTAAATGATATAAACGTCCCTTAAAATGTGTTACTTTATTTACAATTACAAAAAAAATTGCCTAAATATCTATGACTATAATAGGGTAATTAGAACTGTCTACATTCTAAATGTCGCCTTCTAACATATGAATAAAAATACCTTCTCGCTCTTGCCACATATTCGCCTCTTGCATATTCTAATTCTAGTCTAAGAGTTTGATGTGCCGAGAATGTCGTTCGTTGTCGCCTCGGCCGACTTTCTTTTCGCCTTCGACGAGCCACTATAAACACATAAATTTATATTAAGTAGAGTTACATACATATCATTATTATTTTGATAATGTTTGAAATTATCGATGAGGGAAGTGGTTTCAAAACTTAATTGTATTAAAAAAGCCTACAGAAATTTATTCATAAGTCTTATAGGTATACATACCTACATAGTTCCAAGGTTCAAACACGATCAATGGTTTGAATTAAGAAAAATATTCTAAACCGATGCAAATGGAAAATAAAATAGAAATCCCGGTAGACACATATCAAAACTCAATCGTAAAAATATATATTATATATATATATATCTGTTTGTTACAATTTTATGATCTTATAAAAAGCAGACGAAGTCACGGGAAACAGATAGTAGAATATGAATAATAATAATACCTTTTTACCATCGCCCGGGAATTCATCCCCACAAGCTAGTACCTAAGTTATCTCGGACAGTACGATTTCAGAGGAGCTTTCTACCGCGTACACTTAGATTGTGGAATGAACTACCTGCCCAGTTTTCTCACGAGATTACAACATGGGGTTTTTCAAGAGAAGGGTACCTAAGGTTTTTTAAGGATCGGCAATGCGCACGTAACACCCCTAGTCTTTCAGGCGTAGACTACGGTAACCATTTACCATCAGATGAGTGGTATACTTGTTTGCCATCATAGTAGTATTAAAAAACCTAATATATGCTTATATGTATATGTATTATCATTTTCACTTCGTCCGTTGAACTGTAAAGGCCTCTAAAGATCCACAATATTAGAATAGTTCTAAAAAAACTTTTTCATATTATATTCCAAGGTTCAAATTAATTCTCATTCGATCAACTATAAAAGTTAAACATAAGGTTTCATTGTGGTTCCTGTAGGCATCATTTTGCGATTGAGTCCTGAGAAAATCGGGCTTGTAGGAGCTCGGATTGCACGACATATTGCTACGGAAGTTACTGCCGGGTGAAACCCTAATCGCGCCGGATGGGTTCAGTAGTACGATATGTTAATAATTTCAATAATAACCATTATTCAAGTTATTTATAAACTAGCTGACCCGGCGAACTTCGTAAACCCTGACAGAAGATTCTTTAATTTTTTAGTTTGTTTAATACTTATTCTGCTATTCGGGACGCCGGGATAGCTGGTAAGATAAAAAAAGAAAGTTAATAAGTCAATAATTACCTTATGTTAAAAAATAAAACTTAGGTGTTTTACACCTAAAAATCTTTTAATAGCCATTAAAAATCACATTGAAAATTACAATTTCACATTTTTATGTTAACTTATTCTAAATTAAATTTACATTAGTAGATATTACAGTTTGTAACTCGAGAAATCTTCAAATAATTTTGTAAGCGTAAGAGTATGAATATAGATAGATGTATCTATAAATTTAGATACGGTGTAGGTAGGTCTATTTTATTTCTAATTAATTTAAAAACAATCTTTATTATTGAATAAATCATCTAGAGACATGACATTTATTTTAATATATGGTAATGGTAAATGTACGCTGGTGGGATAACAGTGCGATGGGGATGAAGTCACTTTCCCATATAATATTCGCCACCTCCATATAAAAGATTATAATGAAAAAATACGAAGATATTGAAACTTTTTTATTATGGGAATTGTAAAGCGTCCGTGTAGGCAAAACCGGGGAATATAGCTAGCAATATATTCAACGGAAATAAGAAATCTGTCATGCCAACTGTTACCGGACTCCAGGTCATGTCACATGTATAGACAAGGTAATTGACCGTGGTAGTGTCACTGATGAGATTGAAGCTCTATAACGTATAAGTGCCGACCTGTACCATATGGCGTATCAATGGTGCGGTTTACGTTACGCGACCGGTGAAATACTGATTGAGTTTTTAATTCAGTGCACACCACTCATAGGTACCTACATTAGGTAATTTATTTTTTCAATTTTATTTCGTTTTCGTATACTTTAACATAAAATGGTGATATGCCCACGTCGTTATAAATACCAATTAATAGTGATTGTAATAATTTTTTAATGAATGAATTTGGCATAGCGCCTTCCGGTATACCACGGCGCTTTGCCGTGGTATATTTGCTAGTGGAGGATTATAGGACGAGCATGAATTCAGTTAGTCCTAGTCTATAGGCATGAAGTAGCAAACACCAGCTAATGGTGTCGCCACAAAGAAAGCGACAGATATAACTATAAAAAAATTATTTAGGTATATCTAGGTCGCTATGTATACAAACATTTATTATCTATTCCATTGTAGTCTATAATAATTTGAGATATAATAACATTCCATGCAACCACTAGAAAATAATTTCTTTCTCCATTACAGCTCTGAAAAGGTTATGATTTTCTAAAGGATCACTAATAGAGATGTTCACGAGATCGTTAATGGGGAGCGTTGCGTGCAAGATTGCTTTCATTTTGTTTGTTCTCAATCTAAGAACTGCCTACATATGTTTATTGTACTAGTATGAGGAGACCATTCGCTTAATGATGAAAGTGGAGTCTCTATACAATACCTTTACGATTAGAGATTCCTAACTATATATCAAAACGTTATATAATAACAATGGGATAATAGGTTAATTCTATACTACATTAGATAATTTCCACAAGCCAGTTTGCAATTTTTTAAGCTATGTTGGCGACTAGTCCTGACGAAAATACCTACTTGGTTATATATTCAATCTCTAAGATTAATTTTGTGCATAATTATTTCTATAAATTACTACGTATGCAAATAAACAATTTACATAATCTAACAATAAGTATTATGTAGGTAAATTGTCGATTTTATTTCTATAAATTTAATTAATATTGTTTTAGAAATTGTAATAATAATAATAGTTCTACTTGTTAATAATAATAATATAATCGCCTCGTTGTAATAGACCTGGAAATTCTATTTTTTTTTTAATTAATTAGAATGGCAAACAAGCTTTCAATCGATTTGTGGTAAGTGGTAACCGTCCTCCAAAAGAATATCTACATGAACAGCACTACGGACATCGTTACCACCTTATTAAATACCCCTTATTACATTATACCATATTAAAATCAACTGCGATGTTTAATAGATCTAAGCGAGAGCGGTACAAAAGGTTTACAACATACAGCTTACAAAGCAAGCTGCTAGGCAGCTGAAATAGGTAGACAGAGGTAGATACTAATGCAGGTAACTTTTTACAAAGTGTATCTCGATATTTCAGCTCTACCTACCTACCTCATTTCACAAGTACGTTTGTACTAGTAAATCACATTGTCTATAGACAATCTATTTTGCGCTGAATAAATAAATCTCATTATAATATCATTCTTTGTTTTTATATTTAAACTGATCATGATCAAATTTGCAGGAACTATGAGCCCTATTTACCATACATTATATGTGCATAATACACCCTCAATTGTGAAATCAAGTGTGGACAATCTGCTAGAGATAATGTTATTGGCTTTGACAATGCAAACTTAAAAGGGTGGATGTCGCTTGCGGTGAGATCCGTCAGCTGCGGATACCCTTATATCTGCGTGATGGGTCCATCGTGGGGTCCGAGTACAACTGTTGTCACATATCGTCACGCGCTCAATCGAGTCGAAAGTTGTACTTATTAACAGTTATTTAGTAGGGTTTTAAAAGGATTAAATCTGTCATCGTAATAGCTATTCGATTATTATGGGATTTGGTATGATTGTTAGATTAAAAAAAAGAATACTCGTTAAAAATATATCTGATTAATTGAATATATGTTTACATAGAACTTATATTTAAATTAAATTTTCGTATAGCAAATTTGGTGTAATTAAGTTTTAGTTACTTATTTATTACCTATACCCTCGTTTATTTTCTTTCTTTTTATTATTATTTTGTAAAATGTGTTATATTTGATATAGGTAAAAGTATTGTTTTTAGGTACCAATTAGTTTACATTTTGCAGTTATCCATTCTGGTTTTCTTTTGCTCAAAAACAATCTATTATCTATTATTTCAGAATATGGAGTTAAGCTACTCATTTTTAATTCACCTTTAAACTATCTTCCCTCTATCAAAACTAAAACCCCTTAATATTTTTTTTCTCAAAACTGTACTGATTAATCAATGATCTCACAATACCATAAACGAAGCGAGTACGAGGGTCAGAACCCTTAAATATTCATTAACAAGGATCCCCTAATTACTTACCTACTCGACCATAACAGACCGAGATTGGAGGGACTGCCACACCTGACTTGTTTACTTTTTGTTTTCAATAGGTACAATTCATAGATATTGATATTGCGAAATGCAAGCTTCAATGCGTTTCAATTGAACTTTATAGCTCGGTCTCGAATATGAAAGTATCTTCAGGAAATTGTTCATATTGCTTGGGCACACAAAGAAATTATTATGTAAGTTTCTAATTGTAATTTAGTAATGATAAACGGAAGAGGTAATGTTGAAATGTAGAAATTAATTATTATCTTAATTTTTATAGCTTCCGGACTGTTAATGAAATTGTGTTTTAAATATGAGAGGTATCGGCACACGGCTATACTAGGTCTCATCTACTGTAAGCGGTATATTGAATAACTGTATCTAGATAAAATTTATATTGTTGTAAAGTGCATGATTATTTCACATCGATTAGTATTTTTAGTTCTATTCACTATAATTATATAGAACCGTTCTTCGCCTACCCCGTAAGGAATATGACGTGAACATAGATGAACAGATATACCTAGTATTGTAAGCGATTACAATATAATACTAATTACTAACTACTAATAATCTTAATACCACAGATAAGATAATATTACATCTAATACTATCCATGGTATTACATATCTATATCTATTGAAAATATCATGAATGTGATGTGAAATGAGGATGATACAAATAGCGGATTGCTGCTAATATAAATCAAAATGTTATGTTTCCAGTTAAACGCGCGCAGTACGGATCGTATGCATACGTACACGTGTTATTTCCCACGCGTCATTGTGCAACAAGACCATTATTATTATAGAGATACAA